ACGTGCACGTAAGAAACATCTCTGGTGTCACCACCAGTCACGTATGTGGTAAAAGTGAGTGGATAAAAAACATTTGACTTGGATTGCATTTTAGATATTTGACCAATTTAAGATGTCGATAATACAATAATATCATTTTTAGGTCCGCTGGCCCAACAAGCACAAGAATGTGTACAAGTACAAACCGCCCAACATCAAGGAGATTCAGATGGAAGGTACGATAACATTCTAGTTTGCTTCTTTCGTTTTCCTCTGCCGTTTCTAAAGCCATAGTCTAATTTCAGCTCATTCCAAACTTCTGGATGACCGTTTGTTCCTCCCTACAGAGCACGCGATGCTGGGCACGGTTGCTGCCCTGGCGGCCCTGAGCCTGGCGGGGTCCGGCGGGTCTCCCGGCTCTTCCCGCCCGTCCTCCGCCCGGCCCGGTACCGGCTCAGGGACACGCCAGGGGTCGTCTGACGCCTCCTGCTGTGTCATGTAAACCCGACAGAGGTCGGACTGACTAATCTCCATGCATTTCATCATCAAAAGTGGTCGTTTTGTATCTGATTGATCTTTTCGACTTCAATTATTCTACTCGTGTCCTATATCAGTAATTATAAGGGATAGGGGTTGGGACTTGCGCTTGTTGAATTTCATTTACTAAACCCCAATAAGCTTGTTTCGATTTTGTTTATTTGTCCATGTAATCAGTATATCTCTATTTAATCATTTTGTGTAGATGGCGCCGTTAATATAAGTTCCATGCCATCTTGTTTTATGTTTTTGCTGTTTTGGTAAAATAAATTTTAAAAATCTCCAAGCAGATTCGGTGGGGAAAGGGGACTTTATGTTGGCCGCCGGTATCCATTGACCGCCTGTATCTAATGTTGATACAGGCGGCCAAAAACATAAAGTCCCCTTTCCCCATCGAATCTGCTTGGAGATTATGACTGACGCCGGTTTCGTGGTCATGTAACCTGAAGGAGGCCCTGTAAACGCGAAATGCGACCCGAAAGAATGTGAAAATACGAAATTCCTGTTATACTATCAAACAGTGATAAGTAAGGTAGAGGCCGTCACAATTACCCATCGTTTGTTTTTTTTGTGTTCACCTAACCTTTCAGCAGGATCAAATTCGAATACGCGTATGGTATCACAGTATATGATATATCATAGTAATATGACTGTTACCAGTTCAAGACATTCTATTATACGACAGGCAAGGGGTTGTTAACACGAACTTCTAAGTATCATCATAATGTCTTTGGTTAACATACGTACCTAACAATAGCGCGTGACATGTGCCTCTGAATATAGCGTATTAGGAGTATATCTTTAGTCTTTGGGCTTGGACTATTTTGTCTTTAATACCTGTCTTTAATAATGTGATGCGGTAACTTTCGCAGATCAACTTAATTCGATGTGACTTATACGTCGACGTTTACGACGTTTTCGTTAAGATTCTTGTACTAGTTAGGCACCATGTGCTCTCGGGTCCGACTTTTTTCTAGAACAGAATTAAGAATAATATAAAATTATATTAAGCTAAAAAACAGGAGCCGAGGTTTTCTCAAATCATCGATTCATACAATTAGCTTGTCGTAGTTTTAATGTTGTTAGGTGGAAATTATTTAAGAATCTAATAGTATGTTGAAATAACGCGAATACTTCATAGAGAATCATTCTGCTGTTTAACAAAGAGAATAAGATAACATCACGTACACAGGTACCTGGTTTACGCGTTTGGTCTGTGCTCAAGGGTTGAAGTTAAATCTCATTATACAATCATCATAAACTTTCACACAGTTTTACATTCACAGTGACAACTGACACGTTGTCCTAATGATAATGACAATGTTAATGATAATAAATGAAGACCGTCAATGTCCATACATAATGAATGAAGACCTTTATTCATTGTACATATACATACCGACGACCTTTAGTGTACATAGTTAAGGTACATAACCACAAAAAGGGAAAGATACAACATAGGCATACAAATGATGAAGCTGGCACTAGCGCTATAGCCAACAATTACAATAGAACCTCCACAAGTCCAAGATAAAGAGCAATTTACCGGAACAATGTAAGTAGTAATAACTTCTTGACTGTAATTTTACCAAAGCCTGTTTGAACATTTATGGTAATCAGTGTTATTACATGTACATAGCACTTTCCAAAACCCATAAGTTTGCCAGGCAGAAACTGCCAGCCAATGTCTCATACTACAAGGAAGACTGTGGAACATTTTTGGTTAGGCGAGGCTGACTTCTATTCGCTTCTCTGTGATGGTGAAAAGGAATGTTATAGGATCATAAGTTTGTCAAAGCTCATTAGAAATGTGAATTTGTCTGTATGAATCGTCGAGAAGTTCGGTAGCTAAAAGTTTGTTTGTTTTTTCCTTCAGTGTTGCACATCACTGTCCCTAACAGCCATCGTCCCGTACCAGATAAAACACACAGACTTTTGCGATGGGTGTGCAGGCACCGGTGGTCAAAATCTTTTGACAAAAGATAAAGTTCAGAAGGCTTACCGCAGAGTGACTTGACCTGGCTGGTATTCCTACCTTACCTCTCCGCTGAAACTTGATCCAGCAAACCAACAAACGGCTTTTGTGCAAAAGTGAAACCAGTTCCTCTTCAGCAAGAACTAAAATCTAAACAATCGCGCGCAAACAATCTAAGAATAAACCAACAATGGTCGCCAGTTGACAGAATACAATGGATTTTTCTGACTTTTTCGACCATTTTTCAACAAGAACACACTCACCTCTGACCGTGTTAAAAGAGACTGGCTGGTGTAACACATCAAGAACTCACAAAACTATACACTTTGTACAATCGTAATATAAAAGTAAACAGCCATTTCTTGTTTTACAGTCCAGGTGTCCGCTCCATAGTCACTGATTAACTTTAAGGGTCATTGATTCTGATAAATGTACAGGCCTACTTTAGTTACCTTATTTGGCAAGGGGATGGTAATGTCAATATCCAGTTTCGAAGAAGTGGACAGTTTCATTCGTGGTAAACTTAGACCGGATTACCGTAGATGTAGTAACGTTGGTTATGTGTCCTCATGTCATGTATTTTTTGCAACTAGTGCAGACTTACTTTCACGCTTATATTTGCTTCAGCATACACGGGAATTTGTTTAGATATCTATCTGTCTGTCTCCCCTGAGAAATGGACGAGTCCAGGAGTGGGTCTTAAGTTTAAAGTGAGCCATTGTCACAGTTATTTACTCAAGTTGTTTTTCTCCTGGCCCAGAAGAACTGCACGTCTGCAGACACACAGGTGAGTTCAGCTTCCAGACTCCAATGTCGGATAACTTATCTGTACGTAGTGTCTGATAAAGCACACTGTGTGCGAGAGAAGTCTTAACTAGGTCTGAACCTTGCACCAAAGGTAAAGCTGGCGGGAAAGAAAAAGTCTGGTTTACGGTGAACATCAACAAATGGCGACAATGTGCTCACAATTGTTCACAATCACTGAAAATTGGAAATACTAGTATCAGACTGTGATCCGTGTACAGTAGAAGGGGTATACATAAATGATCAGGTGGTGCTAATCGGTTGACCCCAAAGTTAGACGTGAGATGTATGTACTTGTACATGGTAGTTGTTTTCTAAGAGCGCAAAGCTAAAGTGAAGTATAACTCTGCACCGATTTTCAAACAACCGAATGGCACTCGTGGGATTTATCACCTGGAGGTGCATCCAGCAAATATCCTACGTTTAGTCTCCCGTGTGTGTCCTGCACAAGTGGGAAAATACATTGTTTCAGTGCTAGATGGCGTCTACAACGTTCTAATGAACAAATTAAGGCGTTTTAACGCATTTCGGTAGCATTATTTCTAATTCTAGAATCAGTGTGAAAGTTGAGATCAGTCGATATCCAATATCCATCTATCGATATATATCGAGAGATACCTATTAAGAATATGGATATATATATTGACTTGCTCAACTCAAAATTTCAAATTTTCCCACAAGATCCCATGGAACTCATAGCGGGCTAAACGCATGTTTTGTTCTCGATGCTACGTAAATTACCTGCGTGCCACAAACTTAGTTCTTGAACTTGAAGTGGCGTTGGAAATTACCCGGCCCCTTGTTTAAAGGCCATTCAAGTATGAGTATAAGATCGCCTGTCCGTAAACGAAGAGAAGGTTTGAACGAATGTACTTGATAGTTAAGGGCAGAAGTGCCTAATCAGCGCTGTAATCAATGTATTTGCTTTATATCGTAGGTTATTGCTTTACAGCGTAGGTTATTGCTTTACAGCGTAGTCGATTAGGCACATATTACCGACAACCAGACTTGATTTACAGCGTAGATTAGGCCCCCCGGCAAAGTCTTCGCCGGTACTTGAAGCCAAGAAGTTTTTTCTGCTCCTCCACCTGTCATAAACAAAACAAGTCCCTAACTACACGAACTGAGTGGTTGGCATGCTATGGTAGCACACGGAAGTAGACGCGACCACAATGTACGCAGCTTTGGAAATCAGCGAACTGTGCAGATCAGGTTGAGTTGAGACGCATGCGGCATGTACATGTAGCTCAGGCGTTATCTAATGTTCCAATCGACTCTGCGGGAGAACTTAAATCGTTTATAAATGGATTATGGGTTATTGGGGTCATGTATGGCAAATACTTGTACAAAAACAACGTGCCTATTAGTTACGTTGGCCGTGGTACCATGACTTGTCATGTATAGAACAAACGAAACATTTAACATAATTGACAGCCGCCACGTACGTTTAGTTACCGATTTTTGTACGTTTAGTTACCGATTTTTGTCACGTAAACGACTTGTGGCTCGAAGAGTGTGGATATGTACCGGCAATGTCGTATCAAGTTTGTTTGATACTGAACTTGAACGTCCATAAGCATACTGTCGGCTATCCGAACTATTCCAAACGTTTTGAAAGACCCTAGTATCGTCATGTCAAGCGCCTATACATGTATGTCCTGATGATAACTTGATTTTCTTGTTTTCTTTTTGGACGTTACTTCGGCCCCAAGTTTGACCACTGACCATGCCGCTGGACACGGTCCTGTGCCTGGACACCTCAGGCTCCATGAACGGCCGCGGGATGGCCGAGCTCAAGAAGGGAGTCCGACAGTTCCTACTCGGCGTCCAAGGTATTCTTATGTTCCTCTGTCTTCACAATAAAGCAGGTTTATGATATGATAAAAAACACAACAGGTACTTTGGTCAGATTCCTTTTTAAACCAATGACAGATGTCTTCAAAACCACCGTCATGTCAAACTCTGAGAGGAAAAAAACGTTCAGAAAAGTGTCTCCTCATTCCACAGAAACCGCGAACAAGATGAACCTCCGTGAGAACGTGGCCGTGGTAGTGTTTGGGGGAGGGGCCCGCATCATACAACCGCTGTCCGGGAACTACGCAACCGTTTTGTGGTCTGTAGGTACGTCAGAATGACATGTACATTGATGTATATTGATGTATCAGGCAGGTACATTAGATAATTGTAGAGAAAGCGAGTTGTATATATGCGAATAAATGTGGTAATAAATGATGGTCTTAAATGAATGTGGATCTGTTTTTGCTTTTGAGACGACCCTTGAGCTTCAAATCCCTGTTCGAATGCTCCTCCCGTTCTTTCATCCTTTCCATCAACAGACAGCCTAAAGGCGGGAGGGTCGACGCCCATGTTTGAAGGTCTTATGGAAGCGATGAAGGAAATTCTGCAGCATGGTACGTCATTTGGTGCCTTATAAATGTTTACCGATTATGTTGTGGCGTGTCAAACTCATCATTATAGCTTTGATACTTCTTAGGTTGTTGTAAGAGACCGAATAGTCACCACTCATTCCATATGTCATTCTTATCTATAACGTATCATCACACCAAATGTCATTACCTGCAAATAAAGGTTCAATAAACGTCGCTTCTACACATTTGTCGCTAGGTGGCGTGCTGGCCCTGCCGGGTGGCAGAAAGATGACCCCTCGTGTTATCTTAATGACGGACGGCTACCCTGACGTAAGGCATTATTTTATACATGTCATGTATAATAGTCAATTGTCAATCCATACTACTTATCTATTCAATGTCATAATCAGCATCTTCAATGGAGTGATCTACCTGTTGGCCCAGTGTTTCTGGGAACCGTCTTTAAGACGCACATCCCGTAAATCTTATGTAGTGGACATTCTTTATTCCTGTACACAGGACAAGGAGAACGTTCTGAAGGCGGCGCTGTCGTTCGGTCCGGCGGGCTGGCAGGCGGTGGGCCTGCCGCATCCCATCCCCATAGCCTGCGTGGGCTGCGGCGATGACGTGGACAGGGTACAGATTTCATCTCTCTTCTGCTTCAACACATTTTATTTCCATGTAATTATATGCTTATGATATGATCTTTTGTTGTTAAAAACCGTTAACAGTTTTTCTGTAAATCGATGGTTCATCTTTTAGGATCTCCTCCAAGCCATCGCCAAACTCACCAACGGCATGTACATCCTGGGTGACGTCAGTCAGCTGTCGGAGTTCTTCCGAAGACAGGTAGTTATAAGTAGCTTTCTTCACATTTAGATCAAAATAAGCCGAGAAAAAAAAGCATATGTCAACTCAATTTTGTCATTATGTATATTCAATGATTACATAGACTGATTGATGCTTTGTTTGATGTTCAATATCTAGATGCTTCTTATCCGGTTTGCAGCGCAGTTCAGCCACGGTAAGACACCAGAAACTAATCCTATCTATCTTTCACTAGTATCAAACGTGGGTCTTTGTCTACATGTCTTCTTGAAGGCGTACATTCACAAGCTCTCCTTCCTCATACTGGCATCTTCTTCTCCCCTCAGACATGCAGAGGCTGAGAGACATCATGGTCCTGCGGCAGTTCATGGCCAAGATGGGGGAGAGCGTGGACGACGATGAGCTGGTAAAAACTGGTTAAAAAGCGCCAAAGGACTGTAACGTAGCATCGCATAATATGAAGCAACTGTTTTGAGGAAGACCTTAAAGCTTTGTCTATAGATTACACGGGCAGCCTTGCCAAAGAAGGGTAGACTTTGAATTGGCGGTATCTATACGTCGATGTCAAAAGCCTATGAAAAACATTTACTCTTGAAACCTCATTACACTAAAAACTGTATACATGCTGGTGATCCTGGTGATACTAATAGCAGACGAAGGGTGGATATTGGTATAGCCGACGTGTACGTTTGGAATCACGAGGCCACATTACACAAGCAATGGATATCGTCAGGCGCTTAGTTTTTTCTTTCGTATTCCAATCTTCCTCCTTAATTATACAGGCTGGTCTAAAGACTTTGCTGCTCGCCATGCTGTTGATGTCAGGAGATGACGACGCAGATGACGAGGATGATGTAAGTCAGGACCAAATAACACATTGATGTGCTTCTTTTGACAGTATGAATTCGAAATATTTCGTCACAGAACTCATGTACAATCAAAATTGTTGCATGGAAGAAATAGGCATACATAGATAAATAGATAGATAGATGCATAAGTGATTCATTCATACGTCGAGGGTCAAAGGTTGGCATTCATACACCAGGAACGGCCAAACATGCCGCCGCTGGGGTCGCGCGTTCGCCGCGGGAGGGACTGGAAGTGGGGCATGCAGGACCGCATGGGTGTCGGGACCGTCGTCAGACACAGGAGTGATGGTGAGTAAACATTGACACAATTCTGTCTTCCATCGCGAGTCACAGGTTATCCTTGAAATACTGTTTAGGGTGACCCTAGTTTATGCCGACCCTAGTTTATGGCGCGACCCTAAGAACCCAGGATCCCACCAAGACCCATTTTCGAACTTGACCTTCAGCTCCCAACGGGAACCTGCCTACCAAAGATCATGATCCATGGCATCAGGGGTAATGCCGCATAAATCCACACACCATCATAGCCAAACTGAACGCATAACCTTCTGGCGAAGGTTATCAGTTCAGAAATCCTCTGATCGATGTTTGGATCTCCTTCCTTCCAGGTCAGCTTGTGGTGCAGTGGGACTACGATGATTCTACCGCTTACGGCTATCGGTTTGGAGCCGAGGGGGCGAGGGACGTCAGGGTATGGACTATTTCATTATTACCTTCGCCAAGAAGGTTATGTTTTCAGAGGCGTTCGTGTGTGTGTGTGTGTGTGTGTGTGTGTGTGTGTGTGTGTGTGTGTGTGTGTCTGTGTGTCTGTGTTTGTGTGTGTGTGTCTGTCTGTAAACACGATAACTCGAGAAGGTTTAAATGTGTTGACTTCATATTTAGAGGGTGGATAGGTCTTGATAAGACCTCGAAATGATTAGATTTTGGGCCCCCTAGCGGCTTTTTATGGTACTGCAGCTGAATTTCCGGTTTTGATATCTCGTGATCTGGACGTGCTAGGGTCATGAAATTTGGATGGAGGGTAGGTCTTGTAATCATTTGGCGAAGGTATGAGATCGTGGAACTCTTTGTGCTGCGCGATTTACACTGGTATATGCTGGAAGCTTGACATGGCATGTCAAACCGGACATCCTCTTTTCCTATTTCAATACACTTCAGAAATTGCCTTTAGAAATACATCTGTTTGTGAAGAACGTGTGATTCACGCATGATGTGTTACTGTGTATTTTGAAATCTTTCAATACAGGGAGAGCGTAATTACCTCCGGGGAAGGAGATATCCTTCCGCGAGGAGGTTTTACTATTGTTCGAAACATTTCTGTCAGCAGCTGTTTCTCGCGATCGGCTGGACGGATTTGTCTGTGGTTCGGTATACGTATTGCTGTTGGGCTGCAGATGATGCAGAACGTTTTTGTTTAATTGTATATGTGTTTATGGGCGTGGAAATAAAAGGTTTTTAAGTGCTCCGGACACCCCCGCCATGCTGAAAATGGAATTTACCATGTTGTTAAGGAATGGGGAGGTTTCAGTTTTGGGTCTTACCATTTAAAAGGGGTCAAACAGAGGGGTGTCTGGTTCCGATAAAAACGTTGGGTGACGGCGCAGCAATGACGGCGGGGGTAATGGCGCGGGTGACGCTGAACGCTGGGTGCAAGCCGAGTCAGCGCTAGATCTTCGTGTCGCGGCATTTACTTCCAGAAATACGGCGATACACGTCAATTTACTCAAGTACGGCGCGTAGCTAGCATGGCAGCAGCCAGCAGAAGTGGTGGGCGGGCGGTATGACGTATCCGCGTTACGCGTCTCTGATTGGTTGTTCGCTTCAGCTGAGATCGCCGGGCGGCAACATGAAGGGCGCGGGGACGCGAATTTTCTGTTTGAAAATATGCACTAAACGCTGTTTTCCAGGACTGCATAGCCACATCTAGTGAAAAAGTGCACAATTAATATAAATTTGGGAGGAAATATTTGTTTCTTTGTCGATTTATGGTGTCGATTTATGGAACCCGGAAGTGCAGCCGAGACCAGCGCGCAGCGTAGACCAGCGTGGCAGTTTGACGTGTACGATCAAAACATAAACAAAACTCCCGCTGAAAAAGGGAAATTATCCTGTATGTATGCATTTCAGATCCCAGTGACTATGTTTACGATGGGAATAATTGTGGACACGCACGATGCGCACGATAAGCCTCAGAAATTTATGTCGCAAGTGGGGCATTCTATAGGCTTGCACGGCCAATGTCTGGCACGCTACGCGGCGTACGTACACTGCTGCACATCACAGCCAGCGATTCAGTGTCTTAAAATATTTTTTAACATCAGTATAACAATATTTTTAAGCATATGTGATCAAATTTCTGTAAAAAAAATTTGCACAATTGTAAACATAAAACATGAATAGATCGCTGCTATACTGGGCGTACCATTTCGCGTACATGGCCGGCTGCCCGGCGCAAATACTGTCCCGATTTTTCTCAGTAGAAAACCAGAATAAATCACGCACCCGTAATTTGGCTTCGACCCAGAGCTCCTACTTCAGAGTTGAAACCTACAAAAATAGTAACTTTATTAGAGCATGGAGGTATTATACCTCTATGATTGGAAGAAATATAGTATTGCGACACGTGCATAGAATTTGACAAATGGGGGGGGGGGGGCGTGGCGCTACCTAAAATTCTGCTGCGCTACCTAGTTTTTGCCCACTGTGCTACTTTGCTCAAAAAAGTATTTCGAACACTGCGTTAATCAACAGTCCTTACCGAACCAACCGTCAGTAGCCATCAAACCGGCATACAAACATATTACGCACATAACTTTCATACTACACACAAACAAATAACCTAAACCAATAGAAAAAAAACCCGGAGGTTTGAAATCTACGATTTCCCTTGTTGAAATTAATTACACACGTTGGGTTCCTACAGGTGGTCGACGAGGTACGTGTCGTGGGACCTAGTGGGGGCGTCAAAGTTGGGTGCCGCGTGGTTAGGGGTAAGTACACATTGTATGCATTCTATGCTTGTAAAAATCATAAGTGTGTGACAGACCGGGTAGTGGTGCCCTAATGTTCAGCAATTGAATTCTATTAGCAAAAAGGAAAAATCATGATATGGTGTTCATGTTTTCATCATGACCAGATAGAAACTCATGGTATATTGTAATCTATGCAACATTCTATATAATTTGTGTGTTTTCATAACTCTTCTATTAACAAAAACAAATGTACCAGTATGTGAGTGTAGAACATTTCCCTTTGATAAAAAACTCTAGCCTGGTTACCAGACCTCTCCGCAAATAGGATGTAGGATTGGGACCTATAATAGGCCTGGTAACCAGGCTAAAAAATCTCAGCTGCACCTCATTTCTATCAGATAAAGAAAACAGATCTTTGACCAAGGAGCTTCAACAACATAACGTCCTTGTTTTGACGTTGCAGGCCGAGACTGGCAGGCACGGTACGGTAACCAGGACGGCGGGAGGGGTAATGTCGGCGCCGTGTACAAGGTTAACCCAAGGGAGACGTTCAACGTCAAGGTTAGCGAACTTTTCCACTCTACGTTAACTTTGTCAACGTGTTCTAATTATCAACTTTCCAAGTCTGTAGTATTCCTTTTTTTCTGAAGGCCATTTCTGAAACGGAAGGATAGAGAAAGACCACAAATGAACAAATCTCAAGTTCTCGCAGTAGACTGTATTCTAGCTAGAATCATCAGCAACAGTGGTAAAATTAAAGTTGACAGTTATAATTTCCATGTGTCGCACTTCTATTATTCTAGGTCCGTTGGCCCAACGGGACGAAGAACAGCTACCGCTATCAACCACCCAACATCAAAGATATTGAGTTGGAAGGTATGTCAGAAAATTGTAAAAAAAAAAACACGTTACCCGTTAGAAGAATTTAGTTATAGAGTAATGAGTGTAAAGACTGGACGCATACTCTTCAGCGTGTTAACCCAGGTGACTATTTCATTCACCCATCCTTAAATATAAATGATTGCTGATACAGATGTTCAATCATTACACTATTTTGGCCACTCCTCTTGTATAGGCTACCTGGTCGCGTATACCAACGTCACTCTACTATGATGTAGATTGTTATGTCTTCACCACACCACTTCGTGATGTGGTGAAACATATTGTTTTCTCCCATGTTTCTCCTCCTCCTCCCCCTGTCATTTCTAATTAAATGGATTCAACTCTGCCATTGTTCAGCCAAATGACCTGGTACGGGGGATGTGGTGAAGCCATCTGCTGCATTTGCTCCGGAGCAAATGTCGGCCTTTCTACTTTTAGATACTTTTATACGTATCATCTGCCTGCCTGCTTTTCAGAACATGAAGTTGTGGGAACTGCCGCCGTCCTGGCTGCCCTCAGCCTGCTCGGAGCTGTGGGAGGGGATGACTCCGATGACAGCCCTCCGTCGTCACGGTCTGGCACCAAGTCAAGGGCCTGCAACATCATGTAAGGCCACAGCAAGTAAATTTTATGGATGACATCCTTCCCAGACTCCTAAATTTAATGCGATAAGGCGAAAAAAAAGGAAGGTGGGTAAAAAAAAGATTTCTACATTTTCAACATTTTGAGATCATAAACCTTGTCAAACTAGAATTGAGGCGACAAAACATGACAACACAACCAGCAGGTCTTTATTCGTGCATTTAGCAGCAGTATCACATTTCCTTGTAGATGCGTATACATGTCAGCTAACAATTGTTAAAAAGATAATTCATACATGATGTCAACACTTGACATCAAACACGAGCGATCGTGCCTCAAGTTTGCTGCATCGCTCACGGTCTGTAACCACTAGGCTTTTACAGCATTTTGTTCATTTTTGGCTTGTTGGTCACCGTCAGACAACAAATTATTTTTTTTTCAAAATCAGGCGAAAATCAATGCGCGCGTTGATGTCATCCATATAAATTACTTGCTGTGGCCTAACAGCAAACGGGACCATACGACTACCGAGGAAGATAGAGGGGACCACAGAGATAATTGTCTCAAGTACTTTAAAGTACTGACGGCATTCGAAGGCTTACGCCATACGTCATGTCAAAGATTATCATAGATCACATGAAAAATGATTTTGTGTTTTGGTGTAAAGCCTGTAAACTGGATTGCGTAATAGCAAGATGGTGTTCTTTTCACAATGACAATTGCAACGGCAAACCAATGAGGCAATATTCAAGTCAATCTACGCAATCACTAAACTCTTTTTCGAACTATAATGTTGTGCAAATAAGGTATAAATTTTTCCAGCTTAGTCTTTGTGCAAGTGTTGTCGTGATGTGGAAGCTTGTACCTATTTATGGTTACATTTTTTAATTCAACAGTTAATTTTCTGAAAGTACCTTATGTGATTACAGTAGTACATCTAAGCGTGTTTTATAATTATACAAACATATCCACTTAGTTCTGATCATGGTACCTTATATCCAGGTGTGTTGTTGGTTGCTTGAAAACTGAAATATGCTTTATTTTTATACATTTTGGTTGTGTTTGAACTCTGCATGTATACTTGCTGAAAAGGACATTCAAAAATAGGTACTATAATTTCAATACATACACGAACGTATACTAGTAGTATGAATGATCCACCCCATGATCACACTCTCAATCTATCATGAACTAAAATCACCACTAATACAGTAGTAGAATGAGTGTTTACTTTTGTGCGTTGTGTGGTGATATGTAGCAACCGATTTTTTTTTAGAAAGGACTTGTCTTTTTGCCTTACTCTGATGCAGTCTCACCACCTTTAACGTGTAAGAGTGCAAATAATAGTGTGCGTTGTGTGGTGATATGTAGCAACCGATTTTTTTTAAGAAAGGACTTGTCTTGTTGCCTTACTCTGATCATTCCAACCACAAAGGCAGTATGGGTGGTTGTGAAAAAAAGGGTTTTCTAATTGCTTTGTGAAAATTAAGGCCAATGCCGTCAATCATTGTGCTGTTGGAATAACGCGAATACTTCATACAGAACACTCTGCTGTTTAACAAAGAGACATCAGATATCATCACGTACACAGGTAACGTGTTAACGCGTTTTCTCTCACGGTGCTCAATAGTTAAAGTTTACAGTAAGGTGACTTTACTTGACCCCCTCTCTTTGTGTAAGGGCCCATTACATTCATCAACAACAAGACCTTCATTCTACATACATACCCACGGTGACACTAGCTAAAGCCTTTTGAAGTGACTTCGCTTCGAATTCTTTGTGATGGCGGAAAGGTAAGAACAGGATCATGTCTTTGTCAAAGCTCATTAGAAATGTGAATTTGTCTGTATGACGTAGGTGTATGAATCGTCGAGCAGTTCATTTTGTTTATTTGGATTTTTCACAAAGTAAAAGGGAGGTCAAAACAGGTGCATACGCACCTTTACAAGTTGCCCTTCCCCATACTAAAAACACATGTACAACACCAAAATTTACATTCGGTGGCTATTTTTTTTCGTTCAGTGTTACACAGCACGTCGGCATAGTGTACCTGCGCGAAGCTCGTAATGTATTGTGCATAGCACTTCGACAGAATGTCTCAGATAAGGTTGTATTTGCGCTTATAAGGTTAACAACCCGTCTGAAGTTTCCAAATGTTATGTAGGAAAAGATACCGTCTGCAACAGGCAAAATTCAGATGCAACTTTGACCAAACAACCAACGAAAACCGTGAAAAATCAGGGTTTCGCGCAGGGCGAGGTTCAGTATGTTCTGCCGACGTGCCCCATAGCCCGTACCAGATGAAACACAAAGACTTTTATAGCGATGGGTGGTTGTAGAATAATTGTTTGACAAAAGACAAAATTCAGAAGGCTTTCGACAAGCTGACTCTTGACCTGGCTGGTATTCCTTACTGCAGGCTGGGTTACCTCTCCACTGAAACTTGATCCAGCAAAACAACAAACGGCTTTTGTGCGAAAGTGAAACCTCTTGCTGTAAGTTCCTCTTTAGGAGGAACTAAAATCTAAACAATCGCGCGCAAACGACCCAAGTATAAACCAACAATGGTCGCCAGTTGACCGCATACGTTTGACTCTTCTGACCCTTTTTCACCAAGAATACACTCACCTCTGGCCGTGCTAAAAGAGACTGGTGTACCACATCAAGAACTCACAACAAAACTATACAATCGCATTGTAAACAAACACCTTGTTTTACAGTCCAGGTGTCCACTTCATAGTCACTGATTAACTATAAGGGTCATTGATTATGATGAATGATGGGTACAGACCTTAGTTACCTTATATGGGAAGGGGGTGATAATGTTTTAATCATTTTCTAAGAAGTGGACAGTTTCATTCCTGGTAAAATTAGACTAGATTACTGGAGTTATCGTAACGTTGGTTAAGTGTCCACAAATGTCGTATATTTGCTAGAAGTGCAGATTTACTTTCACAATTATCTTTGATTAAGCATAGACGGGAATTTGTTCGAATATCTATCTGTTTGTCCCCCTTGAGAAATGGACGAGCCCAGGTGTGAGTATTTTAAAGCGAGGCCATTGTCACGTACGGTTGTTTACTCAAGTTGTTTTTCTCCTGTCCCAGAATAACTGCGCGTCTGCAGACACACAGGTGAGTTTAGCTTCCGGACTCCAATGTCAGATAACTTACCTGTACGTAGTGTCTGATAAAACACCCTGTATGAAGTTAAGATGCGAGGGAAGTTTTGAATAGGTCTTTACTTGGGTCTAGACCTGAGGTAAAGTTAGTCGGGTCGAGACGCAGGTTGTTGTGGACTTGTGCAAACGTTATCTAATATTCCGATCGACTCTGCGGGAGAACTTAATCGTTTATAAATGGATTATGGGTTATTGGGGTCATGTCTGGCAAATATTTGTACAAACACAATATGCCTATTAGTTTCGTTGGCCTTGATACCATGACTTGTCACAGGGAACATTTAACATAATTGCCAGCGGCAGGTACGCTTGATTACTTATTTGACGTAGACGAGATTTCTGTCAAAGAGTGCAGGTATATTCTGGCACCAGTTTTGTACTGAACAGGCCGGGCGGCTATCCGAACTATATATATATTCCTAACTTTCAACGACCATAATGTCACCTACTATACATGTACATGTGTATGTCCTAGAGATACAGTAATTTTCTCGTTATTACTTTGGACGTCGTCTCGTCATTTCCCAGCCCATTCCTGTGGTGACTTCGGCCCCAAGTTTGACCACTGACCATGCCGCTGGACACGGTCCTGTGCCTGGACACCTCAGGCTCCATGAACGGCCGCGGGATGGCCGAGCTCAAGAAGGGAGTCCGACAGTTCCTACTCGGCGTCCAAGGTAACGTTATGTCCAGAATTGCACACCCTCTGTTTGCACAGTAAAACAATCTTGTGATATGATAGGACAATATGGCTAAGAAACACAACAGGTGCTAATAACCGTGAAAGGCATTTCATTACCCTCGCCAAGAAGGTTATGTTTTCAGTAGCGTTTGTTTGTTTGTGTGATTGTGATTGTGTGTGTGTGTGTGTATGTATGTATGTATGTATGTATGTGGTTTTAGCACGATAACTCAAGAAACTTTATATGGATTGTTATGTATCTTGGTAGGTGGGTAAGTCTTCATAAGACTTTGAAATAATTAGATTTTGGGCCCCCTGGCGGCTTTCCTAGGTACTGCAGCAGAACTTCCGGTTTTGATATTTCGTGATCTAGACATGCATGATAATTATGCAAATCAGAGAGTTAATTTGCATAATTAATGAGGACGTTCTATAAATCTGCTGTATTCTATAATAGGCCTATAGCCTATAAATCTATGGTCGATGGTCTCAAAGCCACCATGTGAAACTGAGAGAAACAAAATTGTACAGAACCATATTAGCCTATAAAAGAACAATTCGTACTTGCCTAAATACAATGTATCTGCAGTTTTAGTGTCGCCTCTTTCTACTGAATATTCTTCACTAAACAGAAACCGCGAACAAGATGGACCTCCGTGAGAACGTGGCCGTGGTAGAGTTCGGGGGAGGAGCCAGCATCATACAACCGCTGTCCGGGAACTACGCAACCGTTTTGCAGTCTGTCGGTACGTCAGAACGACATGTACATGTTTACTGTAGCTTGATGTATGAAACGGCCACGATAGCTTTTTTGACGGCATTGTAGACATTCGAGTAAGTCACGATGGTAATGTTGATCCTGGTCTCGGTCATACAATCCTAATTATATTCCCACACATTCCCATTCACAGATAAACTAGAAGCGGGAGGGTCGACGCCCATGTTTGAAGGTCTCATGGAAGCGTTGAAGGAAATTCTGCAGCACGGTAACGTAAAGATTTTTTTATTTTTCATTTTTATGTATTTATACGGGTTAGCATATCGCCATTTTGGGGCTTTTCAAGGCTCCCTGTGACATACATAACATAATAAAAGGTAACTTATTGGCGATTAAGGAGGATTGGTGTCTTAGTTCTTCTCAGTGAGGATACGTCAGATTTGTCAGTATCACCCAGCGCCTTGATATTTGTAAGTTTATTGTTAAAATGCAGAAAAGATCGCCAATACCTCAGTGCACCATTCTTGATGATGGAATATGACTTTCATCACTTTATGTAGAGCCAAATAACCTACACTTCATCACATCCGTCGCTAGGTGGCGTGCTGACACTGCCAGGTGGCAGGAAGATGACCCCTCGTGTCATCTTAATGACGGACGGCTATCCCGACGTAAGGCATAACTTTATACATTTATGATATTTAGTCGCCATTTTATACTGCACAACTTACTACTCGTTTCTTATTATCAGGATCGTGCTCTCAATTGTTTCAGTCTACCTCTTAATTGTGTCAGTCGTTTAGACATTCGGCCCTGTTCATACGGAAACGCCTGAACCGCGATTCGGGTAAATTTCATTCCTCACATCTGGTCCACGTGCCACATGTTCCTTTCAAACCGTGCCCGATCACGATTCGCCTAAACTACATTCATTGTCATTTGGGGAAAACACGCAAGGTAACTTGTTGGTGCCCCCTCCCAGCGTACCTCGGCCGAATGCCGACGTGGTCCCGCCAGAGGCGGTGAATCTGGTCCTAGAACGGGCATATTATTCGGTCATTACTGCTCTTTAAGTTGCTGCCACGCTTCGTGGAATCTTGATCAAAAGCGGTTACAACGTCTCCATGTGAACGGGGCCTTAGTCGCACGTACTACGTATACGTACAAGTTTCTTCTTGCACACAGAACAAGGAGAACGTCCTGAAGGCGGCGCTGTCGTTCGGTCCGGCGGGCTGGCAGGCGGTGGGTCTGCCGCATCCCATCCCCATAGCCTGCGTGGGCTGCGGCGATGACGTGGACAAGGTACAGATGGTGCCAGTTTTCTGCTATAAAACATTTACTTTTGCTATATGATGCTGATATGTTCATGTATTGTGATGGTTGGCACTATAAAAAGGTTGTAATTGTACCAAGTCTAGACCAAGGATGCTGCCGTTAAATGGATTACCCTGTTATTCCAATGATATCGTCTCGTATGTTGTTGTTGTTACCGTTATTTTGATGACTCATACTTCTTTAGGATCTCCTCCAAGCCATCGCCAAACTCACCAACGGCATGTACATCCTGGGTGACGTCAGTCAGCTGTCGGAGTTCTTCCGAAGACAGGTACTTATAACTATGTCATAAATAGCTTCCCTTATATGAAAACCATTACGATATAAGAAAAAGTAATGCCACGATAGCCATTTCAAGTTATGTTTGCGTCCTTACATGCAACAAAGTCAATACATGATCACATGATCACATCTATGTTTGTTTGATGCTCAATATCCAGGTGCTTCTCATCCGGTTTGCAGCGCAGTTTGGCCATGGTAAGATATCTAATAACATATCCCATGATTTCACTATATCATCAAATGTTTTGCTTTTTTCAAAACTTCAATAAAACGTTTGTACCCTATCCAACTTACATCCATGCGCTCTCATTCCGTCTACTCGTATTTCATTCTCCCGGCAGACTTGCAGAGGCTGAGAGACATCATGGTCCTGCGGCAGTTCATGGCCAAGATGGGGGAGAGCGTGGACGACGATGAGCTGGTAAGGACTGTCTCAAATGTAACCTGGTATTCAGCCTATCGTGGCTGGAGCAGGCCGTCTTCGGGGCTCTAATAGTTCCCCCCCCGCCCAGTACAACAGACCGCCCGGTAGGACTTGATTTGCCGGGAGTTGATTTGCCCTAATCAAACTCCCGCCGTGAAAAACCTACCGGGGGGAACCTAGCTCTGGCGGGCGGGGAAGAGCTTCAGCAGCCCCAAAGAAAACCCACCCCAACCACGATAGACTGGATACCAGGTTATCTCAAAAGCCGTAAAATACTATAAAGTGACTTGTCGACATCACTCGATACTGTTGAGGTCAAAATTTTCTTTTCTATTTCTTTCTTTCTCACAGACTGGTCTGAAGACTTTGCTGCTCGCCATGCTGTTGATGTCAGCAGATGACGACTCTGATGACGAGGATGATGTAAGTCATGGCCAAATAATTAATTCATATACCTTATTTGACAGTAAGGATTCTAAAATCTTCATAACACATTTGCCAAATTACATGACGGAGATGTGGCATTTCAAAAGTATACATATGTGATTAAAAGTGCTTATCTATGTATCGTTATTACTAATTAGAGCGAGCAGCCAAACATGCCGCCATTCGGGTCGCGTGTTCGCCGCGGGAGGGACTGGAAGTGGGGCATGCAGGACCGCATGAGTGTCGGGACTGTCGTCAGACACAGGAGTGATGGTAGGCAAAATGTCACCCATTTCAATACCATCGCCACGCATATCACAATTAAAGGACGAACCGACGAATTCCTGTCGTTTTCGCATCTGTACCATCTTTGTCACAAACCTCTGCAATTTAACCTTCAAATCAAAATTGTATGTAAGGAAGGATACCATACAGCAAGTGCTGTAGTAAACTCTGCTAAATCAGCACACATGATGCACACGTAGTTAATTATAAGACTGTCTCTGATGTGAAGTCCTCCTTCCTTCCAGGTCATCTTGTGGTGGAGTGGGACTACGATGATTCTTCTACTTACCGCTATAGATTTGGAGCTGAGGGAGCGAGAGATGTCAGGGTATGGACTGACAAGTACTTAACCAATTTTTAGTCTTCTTGTTAGTGGCCTACACTAGTGAACTTGTGAATTTTTTACAACCTTACTTCCTCCGTCTCAAAACGCAACCTTACTACATAGACCAGAAACATCGATATTTATGACATACCGCTATATATTACATGTACATATGTAACTAGCTGCCAGTGCATGCAGTGTTTTTAATTCCTGATCGTACAACGTTCCTGTGTATTAATCACATGCGAATGTGTTCTGTACATTCCCAATCTTACGCAGAAGGTAAGGTGAAAATGTCTGTGACGCTTTGGGTTAATACAGGTGGTGGACGAAGTACGAGCCGTGGGAAGTGGTGGGGTCAAGGTCGGCTGTCGCGTGGTCAGGGGTGAGGAGACGTCGTTTTTCTAAACTTGCTACTTACTAGCCTTTGATATCACGTTTATACGTATACCAGCATTCGTATCTTGCGTCTGTTTCTTGCATATCAAGCTTATTAGTTAGTGCTGATTGTAGTGTTTGGTCTATTGTTAGAAGACAGTAGATCGGCCTTGCAGCCAAAGCTGGATTGCACCGAGCTTCACAATAAAAATTCAACTACATTAAAACATAACTGTTAGAACAATATGCATGTAACGTTACAAGTAACATTAAACAGTATTGCCGTATTTAACGGATTTGAAACATTTGCCATGGCAGGCAGAGACTGGCAGGCGCGGTACGGTGACCAGGACGGCGGGAGGGGCAGTGTGGGAGCCGTGTACAAGATCACACCCAGGGAGACCTTCAACCTTCACGTCAGACATTTTGTTTTTATTTCAACTTTTCACCTGACTCCCACTCAGAGAAACTGAAAAAGAATTACCTTTGTCTCACTACTGCTGCTCGGAGAATAACGTGATGGCAAACGAAAGCATCATCATTGATCACATTCACCGTTCTCTTACTTTAGGTTCGCTGGCCCAATGGAACTAAGGCCAATTACCGCTATCACCCACCCGGCGCAAAGGAAATTGAGCTGGAAGGTATGTCGTCCTTGGAACCTACCAGCGTTGAAATCATTGCTATTCAAAGACTAGTACTAAGTAAGACAGTCCCATCTATGTCCGAGTGAAACGGTCCTTATAATACACGTGGACTGTGTAGATTAGTTTGCATGAGTTTGAAATCTTTGCTCCCTACCTTTTAGAACACGTGATTGTGGGGACTGTCATTGCCCTGGCCGCCCTGAGGGCCATGGCAGAGGATGACGACAGTCCGCCGTCTTCACCGGTACGGACTACACAGTCCAGCTGCTGCAGCATCATGTAGCGGATCACGTCACTACGGCCCCATTCCCACTAGGGTAAAATTGTCTAGATCGACCCGAATCGATTCGCTTTGATCCGGCTTCGATTGGGCTCGATCCGGACAATTCTATCCTAGTGGGAAAGGGCCTACCGTGGATGTCAGAGGGGGACACAGAAATCTTTTAATGCTGTCAGGACGTTGCCAATGGATTGTGTATAAACTCTGTCAAACCCTGCACCATCTTCAATTCGCAACGGTACTGATGTGCTGAGAATATGGAAGGGAGAGGGGCCAGTAATGGAATTGCGTCAAACGCCCACTTTGTTACATAGCAAAACATTCCTAACCTAGCTTGACAAATATAGATTTGAAGGGGAAGCAAAGACCTAAGGTTTGAAAGATTGGTGTGTTTTGGAGTGATTGTTTGTCAAGGTTCACCATCTTTTGGAGTGATTGTTTGTCAAGGTTCACCATCGATGCTCCTTGTATTCTACTTCCTTATTATTAGCCAGTACTTCCTATCCTACCAATTATAATCCATGTCCACACGCCTCAGATTGACACAGACACGTGCATATCCTCTGTAAGGCTCCATCAAATCAGACAAGTTTGTGTGTCACGATTGATTAGGTTATCAAATATATTGCTTGGACAGGCACTTCCGTTAATCAACACTAGACAATGTGTTGTTCTTCCATGTCAACTCACTGTTTCACAGGTTCACTCTATGTTGAGCGCTGAAGAAAAAGAAGCATTGTATTCAGGTCTGGTGAAAGTACGTAGAAAGCGCTAGCGCTAGCTCTCTTTTTGGTAGAGTTGTTGCCCGTGTAAAGCCACCGGCTTTTTCCCTAGCCTCCTTCGCAGTCTTGTTGGAGCGCGAATCCTTCTCTCCGCGGCAAAACCTCCCTCGGCAGCAAATCGTCCCTCGCGTCGCTCACAGAAAAAAATAACGCCGACGCCCAACAAGACTGCGAAGGAGGCTACTTTTTCCCAATGAGATTTTCATCCGCGGGGCTGAGACGGTTCTAGCATGGAGGTACAATGTAGATCTTTTTAACTCCATGGTTCTAGGAATTCAAAGACTGTTTCGTGACGTTGTGCATATTAGATATCCACCCACACCCTCCCACGCTACTACTCAGGTAAACCTTGCAAAGTAACGAAAAACCAAATTCAAACTAAGGGTGACAGTAACAGCTGATATTGCGTATGTCATAACTATATACCTTCCATTTTGGATAAGCTATACTTTATTCTACATCTCTCTAAAAGCGATGGAGATTAAATCTCGTGTTTCTTGTGGCTCGTGTCATTTTTCTGGGGCATTTTCAATCAGTAATGTAGGTCAGGAGTAAGTGAGCGGACGGTAGAGCAAAATTAAATGGTGGGAATAGAATAAAGTGCTTTTATTCCGCGACTGAAAGCGAAACGATAGTTCTCTATCTAGTAATCCATTATTAAATCTAGGGCCACCCATTCCAACCTTAGCTCACGATTCAAGATATCTGTCCAGTTGAGCTCCATATGGATAGAAACGTACGTTTTATCGCATATATTTTCCTCGCTGTTCTGTCCTTTCTATAACCGGCAAATGTAACTGGCCTCCAGGGCATATTACGTCAATGGTGCCTGTAACTCAAGTATCTTGTCGTATCATGTCAAGCCACGTGCCGGACGCTACAGAGAATTTTCTAAGACGCCTGAAGTACGGCTCTACGAGCAAGCTTTAATTGTTGACTGCAAGGTATAAACGCATCCTGTTGCCTTGTGTATGTCAATATCGTCATACAAAAGACAGCCGGAACCGTCCACATAGACACGCATCCTCACTATTTCTGGTCGGCAAAATATAATTAATAAAGCTGTTCTTACACAGGAATCCCGTCGACGCCGGCTTGTCGGAACAAAAAACCATGGCTATTGTTTTTTTAGATGGCTATTAGCGGATATATAGCAATGATGTACAGTCATCAATTCGTGCAGTGTCATCCCAAGGGACTCAACCTACAAGCGACCCCTGCATCGATCTCAATTTTTCTATTTCAGACTATAACCTGTTGAAGCTGAAGACATAAAAATGTACTCTAGTATACTAGAGTTTCTAGTCGTGCTTAAGCTACCAAAGCGAGCTGGGCACGCTAAAAATTCAGATTACCACAGCATGAAGCAACGTCATCTGATACTGTAAAAATATCAAACAAATCCATCACTGATATGTTTCGGGCATGGACAGATAACAAAAGTCTTTGGAATCAATTATTCATGGCCTGCCCTACCTGTGGAATTATACCTTCATGCATAGAAGATTACATTGCGTGCCGAAGGTTGGACTCGCCATGTTTGTATGGGTCGTGAGTGGCTATAGCTAGGCACCGTCCAGTACGTTTTGCTGTAGGAAACCTCGAAGCAAATTTGTGTGTACAGGCTCAACATTCCAGTTGTTTTATGTCACACTGTGGTTACACTGTCTGCATCAGTGGGGAATGTTGACGGTATTACGTAAGCTTGGCCGATGACGTGTTCTCGCGTTTTGTGTGCAGCAGAGTGGAAACCAACATTTGCATTGGACTGGCCTTAGCTTGTCGGTCAGAAATTGCACGAAATTCTTTCCGCGGCGGTAAATGTTCTTTTCTGTCGTGTATTTCCTGGGTCTCCAGTCATGACGCTGGAGTCGGGGCGACCGGGCGGCAGGGGACCCGGCTCCGGGGGGTGCAAACGCCGCTTGCGGTTCAGAAAACTCAAGGCTTTTTCTGAATCATTGACTCGTCTCAAAGGTCGGTTTAACGCTCGGTCTGATGAAGGAGGGGAAAATGAGAGAAATCCTTCGGGCGTTGGCGGGACTCCGCCCGAGCAGACGCCCACTGGCCTTCGCTACAGACTCTCCGCGCTGTCCAAGTCGATGTCATCACTGACTTCCATCGGGGCTACAGGTACGACTCCGTCTGTGACCTTAGAAGAAGCGGACAGTGAGACCGAAAGAGATTCCGGACTGGGCACAGGACGGACCCACAGATACCGCAAGAACGTACAGAAGGCCGTGCGAGGCAGACTCTCCTCTCTATCCCGCTCGCTCGGTAATCTGACCGAAAGTAATCCCAGCTTGCACGAAAGCCACACAAGAAACGAAGAGGATCCGCCCGGGGCGCAAGCTACAGCGGACGGACCCACCGGGGGACTTCGATGGCTTTCCCGCTCTCTCGGTAATCTTGTGGGACTAGGGGGAGAACTGAGCCGTGAAAAGCTAGCGGGGTTCGACAATATTTGCTACGTGGGGTTTGATGAAACTGAGAGAAACACAGCGAACGGTTTCGACAATGTTTGTTACGGTGCTCTAGACGAAGATGAAGAGAATGAAGGTCTTCCATCACCTAGATGTGAGAGTACAAAAGGACAAGCGAGCCAGCAAACTCAGGTATGTTTGTCAACGTTCTTGTATAGATACAATTGATGTTATTGCTATGTAAGATCATAGCATTGATGTTGTCTTAGAATTATGAAGGCAAACTGATCTTTGATGCGTTTCTGTTCCTTTAAAAAACGTTTAAAACGAGCAAAAATGGGAAAATATTACTGCGGGAAATAGATTACCGAGCAATGTCCAATGTTGTTTGAGAACCACAATGGCTACCCGATAGCTTACACAATATCATCTAATAATGGTCGATGCGCTCCACTTGCTAAGAGTCATTGCTACACACAAAGACTAAGTCGTTTTCTCTGTAAGCGAACAATTTTTGAATGGACAGTAAAGGCTTTTATACAATCATGTCGAGTGCAATGCTGATTACAAATAAACGCATTAGTCTTGATTCTATGTAGGATACCATGGCGACTGATGTATTTTTTAGCTCGTAATGAACCGTTAATTGCTATGATCAACAGTCGGCCGGATATCGCGTGGTTGTGATGGGGGCTGAGAACGTGGGGAAGACGGAGTTGGTGCACCAGTTCATGGGCATGGGGCGGCTGGCGTACGTCAACCCTGCTGCAGATCTAGACCTGCAGGCTGGAGAAGACGACGACTCGGCATTTGAGGATCCTTACGCCGACCCGGACCGGATGGGAGGTACATACAATACTGTGTGATGAACATAAGATATCACGATGTAGCCTTTTTTTACTAAATATGAATCGCACGTGAAATATGTGATACTCCGGATACCGTGCCACTCAGAAAGTTTCTGTATATCTGAAAATACAATACATAATACAGATAAATTCAATACGGATCAACATCAGTCACATTGTTCACATTGTTCACATCTTCTATCTACAACTATACTTTTGGTTCTTACAACAAAGAAACAAACAATGCCGTGATGCAACTAGACTTTGTTCAACCCTCATTACTGAATAGTTTTGACTTTTGAAATGATCCCCTTTTTTTGCCCCAACTTTAATCTACCTGTTTGCATGGTACGAGCACTCAGCACACCGGTACCTGGTTTTAATATTTACCCTCAGGCATGGATTTCACACATATATCATCTACTGATTACTCGCTTTTGTTAGAGCCTGACGGGCCTTGGAATAAATGGAGAACAAAACAGTTCCAAATATCAACGTTCGCGATGTAGCTGCCCAGTTTACAACAAGGCGTTGTTTGACGTGTCAGGTCGAATGGACGGGACATAGGTCGTCGTGTCCTTGCACGGCAACCGTGGGGAGCTTTGTATGTCTATCTATATAGACTGTGGACAAGTGTTATAACCTGTTTGCAAAGGTTTTGTTGATGGTTTCTTTAACAGTTTTATAGCAAAGAAACGATCCGTGTACTCATGACATTGTGCCAATAGTTGGATATTATATGGTGTATAGGTAATGGCAAATTCATGTTGTAAAGGGTTCTATGTGGACAAATACTGTGGACAAATGTTATAACCTATTTGCGAAGCCTTTTGTTGATGTTTTCTTTAATAGTTTGATAGCAAAGAAACGATGGCCGCATACTCTATGTGCTCATGGTGCCAATAGTAGGATATTATTTGTACCAACTTTGGGTTCAATTTTCTTGCGCAAAATTAATTTCTCTCAGCAAGCTACGTACACGCGTAATTTTACCACACCCTCTGCATGATTGGAAACCCCGGTCACGGAAGTAATAGATAAGTTACACCATATAGGCGGTCTTGGTTCACACGAATGTTCTTCTACAGAACACTTGGTGGAATGTCAAGTAGTCCTTATCTCAGGAAGTATGCACGGTACCATTACTGGGAATTTGAATCAATTGCAAGAATAAAGCATGCATGGAGCCAAAAATGAAACATGAATAACATTCTCAATGTTTACGGATTGAGCGAGAATGGCCTGTTATCACCACGATCTGTCACAAAGGACGAAAGGCATTTAAAAACAAACGTTGATATCCCAGCAAAAATGAGGGTCACAAAAATACTGGGCGCGCTATTTAGGCACGAATGTCTTGAGACAAACCTTGTCCAGGGGGTAAGGGCAGCCAACAACTCAAACTAGGTAACTGTTGACAGTCAAATTAACGTTAACAGTTACAGGATTATGTCATGATCTGGGGTGTGATCAACACAATTTTAGGGATTTCCTCTGGTGAGCCGCTAGAGGATGTTAGGCTGAAGTGGTTAGAAAGTTCTGTCAAGGATTGAATCACTGTTATTGTTTATATTCTTTCGCGATGTTTTGCACTGCTGTCCTTGTCCTTGGTGCTGAACTGTAGGTCATTTGTGGGAAAGCAAAATGGCGGAGATCACCGTGGACTCACTGTGATTAGTAACAACACACTGGACACAGGGAGACAACAGACAACTTGCCGTTTCAATTCTGACAACTTACCTTGATCTACTATACGTGTCTGAGGCGACATTTGTTGACTTGAATTGACACATCTGTCGGTTGTTGTTTTCTACTTGGTTGTAACATCTCAAAGATCGTCCACATCCACAGTGCCGTGACTTGTGTTGGGCGCTGAGAACGGTAGTAGGCTAAAGTAGTTAGAAAGTTCTGTCGAGGATTGAATCACTGTTATTGTCTATATTCGTTCGCGATGTTTTGCACTGCCGACATATGTCCTTGTCCTTGGTGCTGAACTGTAGGTCATTTGTGGGAGAACAAAATGGCGGAGTCCACTGTTGGCTCACTGTGATTAGTAACACAACACTGGACACAGGGAGACAACATATGTAACTCGCAGTTTCAACTCTTGCAACTTAGCTTGATCTAATACGTGTCTGAGGCGACATTTGTTGACTTGAATTGACACATCTGTCGGTTGCTGTTTTCTACTTGGTTGTAACATCTCGAAGCTCGTCAACATCCAAAGTGCCGTGACTTGTGATGGGCGCTGAGAACGGCACTAGGCTAAAGTAGTAAGAAAGTTCTGTCAAGGATTGAATCACTGTTATTGTTTATATTCCTTCGCGATGTTTTGCACTGCCAACATGTGTCCTTGGCCTTGGTGCTGAACTGTAGGTCATTTGTGGGAAGACAAAATGGCGGAGTCCACTGTGGTCTCACTGTGATTAGTAACACAACACTGGACACAGGAAAACAACATGCAACTCGCAGTTTCAATTCTGACAATTTTCATTGATCTAATACGTGTCTGAGGCGACACGCAAGTTGTATTTGGATTTCGATCATTCACTTGAAGTGACAAGTAAGTAAGTAAGTACTTGAAGTGACACACTTGGAACCAATAAGGTCAATGACCTGAACCAGACGTCTGTCACAATGGTAACTAGTGTTGGGTTACATCATGTTGCAATTTTATAGCAGGAGTGATTTAGATTCCTGTCTGACCATATGCGAAGGTAAACATTATGTATTTCCTTTGCAAATGTTACCTTTCTAGTTGGTTGTAAAGCAGGTGTTTTCTACATAGGTGTAACATCTCAAAGCTCGTCCACTGAAATCTAACATCCACAGTGCCGTGACTTTCCATGACGTACGTGACAGGATCTAAACTATAATTACATGAGTGCAGTAGATCAAAGCTGACGTCAATTCGTCTGCTTCATGTATAACTAATTACCGAGGAGCTTTGTACCAAAGGGTCTTGACGCAGTCACAAAGTACATGGGATGAGGTTCTTCAAACAGTAGAAATCCTCTCATCCTCCATCCCGTATATAGAAGTAGTCCTTCCGTACACACGATCCGAAAATGGGAGCACCTCTTCTCTGTTCCTGGCGAGTTCTTGAACTTGATGTGCGTAGATGGTATGAGTGAGAAGAGCGGGGCCCTAGTGGTGCTGTTCCATGATGACTAATAAAGTAGTGACTCTTGTCTCGAGAGAGGTTCCCAATTTGGCTCTGGTCATTTCAGTGCACTGCAGGATTATGGGGTAAGCCTGTTTTCAGAAGCCACTAATAGTTGGAGGACGCTTTCAAAAATCTTGAGCAAAATACGTACCAGAAAAAGCCAGTCAAGGTCATATGACACCGATAGACCCGACAAGTCTGAGCCTAGATAATCCCGTAGCTTTGGTGTGTGCGTCTAGAGCTTACGTTTAGTTACGACTTTACGTCGAAGATTACTAGTAATACGTATAGGCGAGATGCTGACCTTTTAAAGGCATGGATAACAAAACATAGGCAAACAGTGATGGCGCTTATGGTGAAGGAGGATGATTATAGAGATTACTAGTAATAATTAGATTTAGAGGAAATTTTGCTTTTCCGCTTTGTGGTTTGGGAAGTTGTTTGTTTTGCTTCTCTACTCAAAGGACCACGGTGGGGTTGTGAGGCGTAATGATAGAGAGCTGGACTCGGAACCAAGAGGTCCCGGGTTCGAGTCCTGACATGCCACCGATCTTGTGCCCTCGGAATAGGCACTTAACACGACTTTCCTCACTTAAATCAAGTTAAAATGAGTATTGTTCTACCCTGTATTTGCCCTCTGCGTTGGTGGCGGCATAAAATAAGTTGAAAACTCGAGTGTTCCGTCACAATGTCTAGTCATGAAATGTTGGAATTAATAAAAAAAAGGACCACCCGAGATGTTAAATGATGATAAACATGAAAAATAAGAGTCGTGCATAAGAACATAAACTATTAGATGAAGTATCTCCAAATAAATCATTGGAGAAAGTGATAGAACTTGTGTTATATGCCATGGAATTGGGTCATATCGGTAGTGAACCGTTCCCAGCAAGCATATAGTATGCATGAAGCATACCTTTATACAATACAGAAATGCTATATGAAGTGTTCAATTGTGCGTAAATGTATTAGACAGATGGGCATTCATCTGACATCAATTGATACGTGTCAAGTGATATATCTCTCAGTAATAAAATTCCACCTCTGTCTCTTCAATACTTCTTTGGCGTTGGGTAGTACAGGCATTCCTTTATTGTGTAGGATAATTAATCACGGATTCTTTTTAAAGAAAAATGTGAGCAAGACTTTTCTGCTTCGTTAAATGTTACAGAGCATCACTTAGGCACAGTGTATGAGCGAGAACTGAAGGTCGGCGGAGAGAAGACCAAGCTTTGGATTCTGGACATGTCTGCCAAGGTAGTTACGTATTCCTCGTTTGAGAACGTTTTTTTTGCTCTGTTTCCTTCTCCTCTTCTTCTCCAAACAAATAATGTCAATGACCTGAACCAGACGTCTGTCACCATGGTAACTGTGTTGGGTGACATCGTGTTGCAATTTTATAGCAGGAGGGATTTAGACTCCTGTCACCGTATATATGAATGTGTTTGAGTAAGAATGAACCATATGCGAAGGTATACGTAAACATTTGCTTTCCAAATGTTGCGTTTCTGATTATTTGTCGTTTTCCTCCATGAAAATAATGGGTTTGACGTACATATCTATTACAGTAGAGATAGGTGAACGCCAGGGTCAACTTGAATTCAGCCTATTATCCAAATCCTCCATTGAAAGATCATCGCACAACTTGTTTAATCATTCTGCGTAGATGGCGCCATTAATATTTATATATAAAGTTCTATGGAATTTGAGTGCGGCGTCATCTTGTATGTATTTATGTTTTTGCCGTTTTAATAAAAAAAAGATCACAACGAGTTGTTGTTTTTCCCATCAAAGGATCTCCGTGAGGATGTCGACCACACTTACCTGGACGTCGGAAACGCCTTCGTGGTGGTCTACTCGTGCACGGACAGGGCAAGTTTTAACGAGGCCCTGAACACGTGCGCCTCCCTGCGGCAGAGACGCCGGGCATGTGGAACACCTGTCATCCTGGTGGCCAACAAGAGCGACCTGGTCAGGTGCAGGCAGGTGTGCCCGAAAGGTAAGCTTACTTTTCAACCTTTGTTTTTCTATGAAATACTCAGAGTATTTACAAACCACACATGCATTGTATGGTCCTAATAGTGGAAGTACACACGTCTTTTATAAGCTTAAGCCTCTTTGCAATCCGTCTTTATAAAAGATTTATGGTGATCTATAGACTTTTAGATTAATAATTGATCTTCTATAAGCTACAAACGTGGCATACGTTGCCATCTCAAGGCAACCCAATATACAAAGGATATCGTGCCGTTTCAAGGCAAAAGCAAGTGGCAGCACAATGCTACGGAACAAAAGGTGTTATGGTTAAATTTAAACTTTTGATCCAGCACAATGAAGTTCTCTCACCTAGAGCTTTCGACCAGTCACTCTGGTCTTCCTCAGTGGACTAACCCACCTGGCTTTTTTTAAGTGTGACTTCAACACTGGGTCAAAGGTATCTGGTAGACTACTGAGGAAGACCAGAGTGACTGGTAGGAAGCTCTAGGTGAGAGAACTTTATTGTGTTGGATCAAAAGTTTTAAATTTAAACATATACATGTACAATGTAACTACATGTACCAACACAGATGAACTTTCATGTAAAAGGTGTTATGTTCTATGACAATACAATAATTGCTATTGCGTGAACCAGTCAAATGTTATATTTCTTGTGTCTCCATGTTTTTAGAGGCCGTATCCTGCGCTTTGGTCCTGGACTGTAAGTTCATAGAAACGTCAGCCATGTACGACCTGAACGTGGACCTACTCTTTGAGGGTGTGGTCCGTCAGCTGCGCCTGCGCGGGAGGGGACTCTCGGCAGACAAGCCGCCACCCGTCGCCGCATGCGCAGCAGGGGACAGCCACGGACGGTACAAAAAGAAGCTGCAGAACTTTGTCGACCAGTTCTTGCCAGTTCAGGACAGAATGGCCAAACTGAAGGCCAAGTCGTGTGGTGACTTGTCTGTTTTGTAGTTACACAATCACAGTAACATCACAACAACACATGCCATCAAGTAATTTATGTTTACTGAAGGAAAACATATTCGTTTTTGCTCTGTTTCCTCTTCTTCTTCTCCAAACAAATAAGTTCAGTGACCCAAACCAGACGTCTGTCACCATGGTAACTAGTGTTGGGTTACATCATCTTGCAATTTTACAGCAGGAGGGATTCAGACTCCTGTCTGACCATATATATGAATGTGTTTGAGTAAGAATTAACAGAGCAGACCATATGCTAAAGGAAACATTATGCATTTGCTTTGCAAATGTTACCTTTCTACATTGCAGTGTTAGGTGTTGCATTCACCTGATACATGTAACATTATGTACTTAAATCTTACTGGATCTTGGTCATCATATGCTTTACAACATTGACTTTGGTGTTATCTAATGGTGAACTTTGATCTGTGTGTTAAATGTATGGATATTGTATTTATTCATAGACTTACATGTAATTAAGTTTTAACTTCTACTGAGCTACATGTATGATAGATGTATGAAGGATATTAGATGATATGATGCTGTGAAACTTGTTCTCTTGTAAATGTTATGAATGGTTAGCACACTGTTTGAAATGATGGTGTTTGTTGCTCTGTATATCAGCCTTACTGTGTGTACACAACCTGTTCTTGCCATAATAATGCAAAGTAAGGTGATATTATTATTTATCATTTGGCAGTATTTTATTTCATTTCCTAGAAATTTACTGTAAAAAATTACATTGATGTATTGTCTTCTGATACTATAAATATTATTAGCATCATACATATTGTTAATAATGCTTCATATGAAATTGCACTCGTCCATTTACGATACCTTTTCTGTCTCTAGGAACAAGACAGAATAAGACATAAAGTGAAATTGCCATATGACTGGTTCATTCTATCTAATAATAAAGGTATACAGGCACTGTTGGTATCATCCACCTCATGAAACATGTAAGACAAGTATGAAAATTATTCCACATTTACAATATTCCTTTCTTCGCATAAAAGCTGTATGACTTTTTTTCATCAATTCTGTCCCCAAGATTTTAGGAACTTCCTTTATCCCTGCAACAAGATGCAATTTCAGATGTTTCAGAAAATTATTCTTTATAATGGCACTCAAGTTGTTTAAATCCTGTCATTTACTCTTCTTTGACTTTGTCTTTTTTCCCTTTGAGGCACTGTCATCCTGGAAAGAAAACAAAGAGGAAAATGTGTGTCAATGGACAGATATCATCAAATAAAAGGAAAGTGATCTCGAACCAATTTCAGCTCACTGAAGAGCTAATCTCCCACTGGTCGTAACAGAGAAGACAGAGTACGTTATGTACAGCATACGTATTTACAGGTTCATTGTACTGGGGAAATTCGCCTAGCTCTTTTCGACAAGCACAACGAACAGTGGACCTCGGCTTAATGACCTGTCCTAAGGACTGCTCCCCTTTCCAGTAGCAGGCATGCCGGGTGAGGAACAGCTGGGATTCGAACTCCCAACCTCTTAGTCCAGAGGCAGGGTCACTAACCACTGGACTATGCACGCTATTTCGAAACTACCTTTGCTCACTTATACAAAAAGACAATAATACAGGTGTCTAATACAGGTGTCTATGGAGACACCTGATCCTCACCTTTGCTTCCAGGTAGCCGCAGGTGTCCAGGATGTTGCGGGTGCAGTTGTTGATGTGTTTGAACCTGTCTGGTCCGAGGAGGATTCCTCCGTACCACCTGGACACAATCACCAGCACATTCCTCACATCCAGGAGCTGGCAGAATTACAAATAGAGAACAGTCAATGTGATATACATAAATCTGTAAATTCCAGTTGTGAAATAAAGACAGAAACTATCACAGACAAGGTTTGAATACATCTTGTCCATTTCAAAATGCCAAAAAGAATTGAATGTTACCTAGGAGTTTTTGTCATCTCATCCAATCATTAATTTTTTTCAGGAACAATTCAAAGAAGAAATTTATTTTATTTCACATTATTTTATTTTGAACTAAGAATATAACAGTATACTAGAGTAATTACCTCCATTATGTGCAGCATACGGCCCCCTGCTGCAGTCTCTCCGTCATCATCACAATCTTGGAGAAAAGAATTCCTGTCTTCACAATAGATTCTGGAAGTACAAAAGTCAAAATCACATGATTGCAAGGGATATACTAACTGAATAGCAACATTCCTCATACAGTTTTTGGTATCTTGAGAAAACGAGCTTACAGAATGAAGTATTGGAGTTTGGGCTCAGAAGTACTTTACCTGTAGGCCAGAATGTTGTTTGTGGCATTGGCAATCTTCTTGTTCTCCATCAGTTTCCCCTGTACCTGTTTTACCTGACAAAAATCAGACAAATTATGTAGCAACCCTACGGATCTGCAACCTTCTATTACTACTAATGTAGCTCCAGTGCCAAACTGGTACACTGTAGAAATCATATACAAAATGTCTATGGTTTGAAAAATCTAAAAACAGCAATGCGTTTACATTTCAAAGACACTTTCAAAAAATATGAAGAAATGATGTTTATCAAACTACTGTAAAGTTTGGACTACCCATCTCACCTGCCTGACAGACACTACAGGTGCCAGGTGTGCCTGGAAGGTGCTCCTCTTGTCTGTGATTGGCTCCCCGTGGTGGATGGGTGGGAGTTCTTCATCTTTGGATCAACCAAAAAAGGTTCTCAGATACTGGTACAATTACCTCTATCAAACTATGCTATATCAAACCCTAGCTTGTGCTAGAGAAGCAATACAGTCCTATCCCCGCCGACTAAAAAAACACAAGCATGACAATGCAAGCAACTTCAAAAGCCATATCACCATTGACAAAAGAGACCCATGGCTTATTTGAAATTGGACAGTATCAATCTTCAAACAAAATCTCTGACATCAGTGAATAGTTTCATCAGGTTGGTAAGTCTCTGAGTAAAGAGACTCTTTTTACACAACCAAGCCCTGAGGAAGGCGACAGACGGTCACCGAAACGTCAGCTGAATTGGTTGGTTGTGTGAAAAGAGTCTCCTTACTAAAAATCTCTGATATGTAAGTTAAAAATACACGATGACAAAATAAATGCACTGCATTGTTCTTTGCTTGTTCTTTTGTTTAAGTCTGTTTGGAAGTTGCTAAAAGGTTTCCCTTTTACATGGAATATGGAGATTAGTAAGTCCTGGAGCTAATGTTACCTTGAACAGGTGAAAGATCACTACCCGTATCTGAGGAAGCAGGAGACATCACAACTGTGACTGTTCCTTCAACATCGTCTTGCTCACAGCTTTCTTTGGCACTGCTTGATGGACCTTTTATGATGGACACAAGAAAAGAGAATTGAATGTTTTGTAATATATACATTTAAACAAACAAATGAACATAACATTATAGTGTTAAACCTATACAGTGTACGACGTATTATGTGACATATGTGAAGTGTTAGAAACACATTGTGTATTATTGGGTCAACAGGGCATTCTACTAAAGTAAACAGTAAAGACAAATACATGTACTATAGACATATTGATGTGTTCAAAGCAACAAGAAGAAATAAACAAATACAGCATACTAGTATTCATTCCATTTATTCCATATAACTTAAGAGTATAGATAAATAGAACCGCAAAAACACACCTGTCAGGTCCCTTTCTCCTTTCTCCATCAGAAATTCTCTGACCCTCTCCACCCAGAGGAAAAGAACGGGCTCCCCAATGTTCTGTCTGTCAGGAAAGAAAAGTAAAAATAATATAAAAACTTACACCTTAAAAATTTATGCCCAATAATGAAGAAATGTTATAAATAAGGTGCAGACTTACAAGTAAACTTCATCCAGACTTCTAGACAGTTCAATTCGTTCTTGTCCTTTCAACCACGGTGCGCTGAAATAAAGAAGTAAATAAAAAAAAATAGCTAAATATTGTGATCAAGTGAGAAAAATCTTAAATAATCTTTGATACATCAAGTGCAAATTATAATCTTATTTATAAATAACGTTACATACAATGAATAAATGTCTTTGAAAAGAGGACAATCAGTTCAATAAAAATCTTGTGATTATCAGTTAATATATCATATAACGTTATATCTAAAAAAGTTACCCAACCTTTAAAAATCATAGTGTACTTACTTCAGCTCATAGATAGGAGGTGACAAACGTGGGTAATCAGTGGGTAAAATAACCTGGAAGTGAAAGACAGCATGTGAACAGCCCTCACTTTTTTTCCTAGTGAGACATTGTAGGTTCATCATGCTTGTATTGAAAGACAAAGTGTGAACTTGTACCAGAAATAACTTGTTCATTTACTTTTTGCTCCTTGTTGCTATCTCACCTTATAATCTCACCTTGTAGACGGTCAGCTATAAAACAAAGTTAACTTTTTTAATACCTGTAGACATAGTGCCCACTGGTGTTTCTCCTCCCCATCTGTGACCTGTATACAGTACACCCGGGACATCTCATCCACAACACACCACTCATCTCCATAGATGGCTGACAGAGCCTCTATCTCCTCCACCTGTAATAAACATTTTGCATTAATATTTTTATGTTTACTGAAGGAAAACATATTGTTTCTGCTCTGTTTCCTCCTCCTCTTCTCCAAACCAATAGGGTCAATGACCTGAACCAGACGTCTGTCACCATGGTAACTAGTGTTGGGTTATGTCATGTTGCAATTTTATAGCAGGAGAGATTTAGACTCCTGTCTCCATATAAATATGTTCATAAACATTTCACATTGAATGTTTCTATCACATACGTTTGGTGTGCTTATGGCTAGAGCAATCCCCAGAACAGGACTCTACTCATTATTAGGAAATTTGAATATGATGAGCAACAGAATACATATGGATCCAGGCTGAAGTTCACATAGGAAAATCGCTGTACTTTTGTGGTGTCAATAAATATAACGTTAATATAATTATAAAGTTTGGTTGTTCCGCCCACCAGTCCACGCCCCCACCCATCCTTACACGTCACCTGTGATGCCAAATTGTCGTCCGATTCTGCTTCCATCTCCTGCCAGTATGAAGCCTGAGGTATCTGAAGGGTGCATGAGTTTGTAGCCCAGCTGTTGACAGTGTAAACGGCCAAATCGGTCAAGCCAGATCGTTTCTTGACGGAGATCTTTAGGAGAAGTCCGTGCTAGCAGACGCCAAAATGTCTACCGACCGCCATTTTCTTTTTTCCCGTCATCCCTCTGGGGAAACATGGCGGAAAGGTAGGTGTGGAGATCACCCAGTCTGTGTGAAATATCGTTGTTTACCGAAATTGTCAAATTTTAGAGGAATATTTTCTATCTTGCATAGTCAAGACGATCTCTTGGTCAATACTGAGCATGTGTAGGTGCCCCTGTATCGTGATTTGAGGGCACTTCGGTTGATCCATATTTCGTCCCCCCTCCCACCCACTTTTTTTTACGTCAGGATGATCATAATATTTTGATCAAATTCTCTAGCATCACTGACAGTCTTCTTATTCTTGAAGTTGTCCTGGATGATGGCATTGCCTTCACTCCTGTTGTTTCAAAGATTACTCACAGTGTTAGCTATACCGGCTGTCTTATAACTCACCCAATAACATTATTATAATATATTAAAGAGAAAAGACCTCCACACAGATGAACCACCTAGTACCATTTGGCTTTGGTCTTGTATCTTATAACGTTACTGATATTTGGGTGACAATTTCTTTTCCAGCATCAAAGTTTATGGTACCTACAGAACATATAAGACACATAAGAAACAAGAAAACTAGTGTCACTGGTATCCTGCACTTTGGTGTTGACCTTGCAAATGAAACTGAAATCCTTAAGTAGTCGTTTGAATTACATTATATTCTTAACCACTATATTTGTCTTCGTCAGAAGGACTATGAAATTGTCTCGCCGGTGTGTGGGGAACTGCGGATTTTGCTATATAACTCTGGAAGGCATGATTCGACGTCCATGATTTTTGGCAGGGATATTACCGCTGTTGAGGCCGAAGTCAAGTACAAGTTTCGGCTTCGTGGGGGGTCCGTGCGTCACGTTAGTGCACCTTTTGTGTTTGTGGCTTGTTAGCAAGATAACTCAAGTATTTGTAAAATGTTGATTATAATTCTTGGTGTGGTGCTTACTATTGTCGGGACCAAGGTTAAGTTCGTTACTGAGCTTCGTGGGGGGTTTCATTGTGACTACAGGGGGCATTTTGTTAATTTTTCTTGTGAGCAGGATAACTTTTGTATGTGTGGATGGAAGTTAATGAAATTTGATAGGCATATTACTGTCGTGGTCTCCAAGATTGAGTTCAAAGATGAGAGTCGTGGAGGTCGTTATGTCCCCGTAATAGGACCTTTTGTGTTTAGAAATCCCCCACCTACATCTGCTTGGAGACAGCCGACAGCTGGATATAGCCAGGAACCCCATAATGGGATGGGATCAAATGACGTTACATTGAGGGATTGTACTATAACTTCAGCAGGGGGAGGATAGGTTGGACACATGTCAGGTTATTTTCTACGGCCACACCAAGTAATTGCTATGGATGACGTCCACTGGAGACCTTAAATCTAATTACCTTAAATTTAAGGCAAGCGCGCAATAAAAACACGAAGGGCCGAAAAACGAGATGCCTAGATTTGGAATATACTAACTGTAGAAGTACAAATGTTAGGACACAAAGAACACAAGAAACAAGTCTTCTATTTGTCATAAAGACAAATTAACGAAAGTTTATTGCAAATACATGCCCGAGGGCTAATTGCAGACAAAACAGCAGTAGTCACCCTGTTCTGATTCTTTCCTTTATTATTTTTTTGCGGCGCTGTCGTGACACTTTCAACACAGTAAGAATTTCTTGAACGTTTTTTTCCAGTAACAGTCCAAACTCAAATAACGTAGGGGGGGGGGGCTAACACGGGTGACGACGCATCTGTATAATCTGCGGCAAACCGTTTCAGGGTGTTCTGTACCATAAAAATAGTACAGAGATTCTTTTGTTCTTTAGACCAAATTGATTATTAAAAAGAGTGAAGAATACGCATGTTAATTTCTCTAGAACGATGTACCTCTGACGAAGACATGAGATCTCCGACCTCTAGTTTATTTTGTTTGTCTGCAGAGTTTAGTGAGTTGACAACCTCAGCCTCATCATGCCGAAGGAACCCAAAGTAACAGGTCTGTCCCCCAATGAGGGACCTCCTGGGACTAAAGTCACCATCCGAGGGGAGAACCTTGGGACAGGCGCAACAGATCTCACAGGTTTATTTATTTAGTTTTGTTTTCTTTAGCCTGAGTAGCCCGCTCAGTTATTAAACACTGGTTGGTTAAACGTATATCTTCTGTTGAAGACATCAATTTCAGAATTGTCTGTTTATTTCTGTCAAGGAACCATAGTCACTATACAAAATGTTGATCTACTTACTGATGCTATTTGGTCATGTTCAACTTTTTATGTAAATTAATGTAACTGTATGTGTTGTAGATATATTGCCTTCCTATGGAAGAAAACACATACCGATATACGTTGATGAAGGTTAGACATCCAGCTAAACAATACTCATAGGAAATTTTCATTTTTCCATACACTCACATTTCAAGTTTAACTAGAATTAGTACAAATTTTGCTTTCATACTAATAGTAGTACTTAAGAATCAACTACAAACTTGCACTTTGTATGGCATCAGTATCTCAATCTCAAAGAGTTACACCCAACAGCTTTGTTACATCTGAAGTTGAAGTGTAACTAGAAACATAACGTTATATCTAAGATCATTGCATTTTTTCTGTGCTCTTCAACAAGTTCCAGTTTTACATTTTGAGGCCCATAGAAGAAATTTTACACACTCATGTGTCACTCGCAATTCACTCTCATCAGTAACTACGTATATGTACTGGCAGCACTATGTTGATCTGGTGTTCAAATGGCAATGAAGTTACTTTTTTTTTAAATCTCACTGTTCTTACCCATTTTTCACTGTATATATATGCCTCTCTGTTTTTAATGTTATGTAAGAATATGGGCCTTTGGTGCCTGAAATAAAGAATAAATGAACAAATCTGTACTGTGCTTTTGCCTGCAGGTCTGACCATATGTGGTGTGAACTGCCTGCTGACTGCGGAGTGGGTGTCGCCCAGTAAGATCACCTGTAAGACGGGTCTGTGTAAGGGTAAGGGTGAGGTCATCGTCACCACCCGCTCAGGTGGGCTGGGCACCTGTACTGTCACCTTCAGGGGATATGTCATGCAGACAGGTAAGTACTTACAGAAAAATGCTGACATACGTTTTTTTAGTATTATTACTGTGCACCTTTAATTTTATGCCAAATATTATAGGTAGAAAACAAAACAATGGCTCAAAAAAGCTATTTTTCTAAAAATGGGCGTGGCCATTAACTAGTGACTTTTCCCATCCTAACGTCACAATAATTTGCGTAAAGTATCATTTTATAACAAAATATTAGGCTCTAACTGTAAACCAAACTCTTTTTTCTAAACATTCAAAAATGCCACAGACACTCAAGGACATGTTTGGCTTTCTATATATACAAGTGCTTCTTTTGGTTCTTGCTTCCAGTATGCAGATTTGCCTAGTTCCACTATGGTTAAATCATTGCTGCCAATGTTACTTGTAGACCGAAGTAGGTGTTTGCAATTGTTAACACAATGTTATCAAGATGATGGTAAATTTATTATATCTACATACATGTAACTGTAATATAATAATTTGTGATTCCTGTCTACATCAGGACCACTGGAGGAGTCAGCTGTTTGGATAGATGAGTCCACTACAACAGACAAGAGGGGGAGGTCCAAGTCTTCATCTGCCCTCTTCCGCAAAAATGAGGATCCTCTGGGAATGTCAATGGAGGGGAAGTAAGTTTCTTCTTCTAAACTGACTTCTGTCACATTAGCACTGTTATTTTCTGTTGTACTGGCCCATGTGGCGGATGTCTGTCATTTCCAGTCAGCATCATTTTGTGCTTCATCTCCTAATCAGAGTGTTTTTGTCCTTGATAATTTCTGCAGAGGAAAGTTTCCCATTGACCAGCTTGAGGAGATGTTCCCAGAAGGTATGGAGCTCCTATTTTTCCCTGTCATTGCACAAAAGGAAAATACGTATAGCAGATAGAATGTTTTGGTGTGAATGTGTTTTAGAATCATGAAGGCTTGAGCATTTTTTGTTAGTGCAGTTGCTGTTCTAAATAGCAGAGGTTTGTCTACTCAAAAAAAATGTCAAAATCACCAGAATGTACTGAGTGAATTTATCACCTCAAAATCTACTGTTATATTGGACAGGGGTCCGCATTCCTACGAATGCCAGCTGATCCCTACAAGTCATATATTGATTGATAGAGAAGAAATGTTCTTTTTGTTTAGTATTGTCAAGTTGCAGTGAAGCACATGTATACGGCTTTGTTCCATAACAGGAAGCGGTGATCCATCCAACGACAAGTTCCTGTCTGAATGGTTTCTGATAGAGAACCACCATCACACAAGGTGAGCTCTGTGTAAATGTGCTTTACACTTCTGAAATTTTTAGATTATCTATGTGTGACTCATATATTAACAAGGGATAACAATTCACTATGTACAACCAGTACTGTACAATAAGCCAGTCAATCAATACAATGCCTAAAGATCAAGATCGTAGAGTGGAACTCGCTGTCACCAAGTACAGTAGAGGCATTTTCATTAGATAGCTTTAAACAATGTTTAGAGTTAGATGTTCAATTGTTAGGTGTAACAAGTCGTTCAGTGTAATGTAGCCAGCTGCCGCCACGCCACGTGCCTGCGAAGCTGGTGTGTTACGCTGAAGGGCGGTTATACCGGCATACGATACAGATACAGTCCTAAAACTTGATGATATCTGTTTCTAACATGAAGTTGCTAATCATTACATTGTCTCTGTGCGTCCTGTTACTTAGTTTTGAAGACCTGAAAAGCGGTCTGTCGTACCTGAAGAGAAAGTCCAGTCAGCGGTCGGAGGGACCTCTGGCCTTCATGAAGGGGAACCTGACCTCCATCATGGACTGTCAGGACGCTCTGGCTGGTAAAGGAAATATTTATTTTTTTATTTCATTCACATGGATTTATGACCAATGGATGGGAAGCAGGTTCAAGCTTATAAGATCCTTTGCTTGATAACATAAAACATACAAAATACAGGTTGAAATAACAAGTACAAAATGAATAATGAGCTTGAATTGAAAGTGGCTGGCGCACCAATAGACAAACATTTACTGTCATGATAAGTTCTGAACAAAGAAAGGTACATGTACTCAGGACCTGCAGGGAAATGTTAAGCTGATTAACTACATTGTGTATTTTTAACTATACATTATGAATTTATGACTGTATGTATCATAACTCAATACTGTTAACAGGCCTTGGAGATACTTTTCAAACATTTTTGTTTTTGCTCAGTTTCTTCCTCTTCTTCTTCTCTACACAAATAAGGTCAATGACCTGAACCAGACATCTGTCACCATGGTAACTTGTGTTGGGTTACACCATGTTGCAATTCTATAGCAGGAGGAATTTAGACTCCTGTCGCCATATATATGAATGTGTAAGAGCAGACTATATGCGAAGGTAAACATTTAGTTATACATTTGTTATCTTTCTAGTTAATGATACCTTATGGGATTTAATCAAGATTTCTTCATAAATAAACAGCTCAACAGGGGCAGTGGATGAAAGCTACTAGTACTACAGCAGAGGACAGTGAGTGATTGGAACATCCTGGTGATGTAGGCTGGGCAGGGGGTGTGGGAAGAAAGTCTGCTTCTTTGGGCTGTTCCATTTAAACATCTCTGACAGGGGCAGCTACATTTTCTTGGTTATCCCTCATGTTAGATCACCATTCCATTTTGAATGGAACAGCCCTTAAAGAGATGGCAGCATTTTGTGGGTTGGTTGTGGTGCTTGCAAAGACAGCATGGGGTGAAGATTTGCTTAGATTTTCAGAAGGTGTCTCTTTCAGAAGGTGTCTCTCTTACATTGGTTTGTGAGAAGCCACTATGTAGGATTGTTGACATGTTACATTGTTTTTCCTGCAGCTATGCATCAAGACCTGTTGAAAGATGAGAGTACCAGTGAGGGCGGGTCTATCACTGAAAAACTGGAGTCTCTTCTGAACAGTAGGTGGCATATTGTTGTATCTAAGTACTCTTAATAGTTTGTTCATTCATCACTATCTTTTTCTTGTTTTAGAAGACACATAGAAGAGACTTGTACATGTATGTGTAGTCCTCAAGTTGATTCTATATTATATATTTCGTTATATGTATATATAACGAAAAATTTTACTGTCATAAGAGTTGTTCAATATGGAGTAAAAATGCATATATTCTTTACTCAGTCGTCTTGCCAATGTGTTTTGTTTGAAAGGGAATGTAATGGTAGAAACACAGGAAGAATATGTCCGAAATGTAATCCTTGCTAAAACTTGTACTCAAGATAACAAGAAGTGTTGATATGCAAGATATGCAAGAAACAGTTCCTACATGTAGTTTTGATAACTTGACCTCCTATGTTACAGAGGCCAATGACAGTGCCAATGCCATGTACCAGGATGTGCTGGGGAGGAAGGACAAGGCCGACGCCACCCGGAACGCCCTGAACGTACTGCAGCGCTTCAGGTTTCTCTTCAGTCTGCCTGGCAGCATAGAGAGGAACATCCAGAATGTAAGTGTTCTTCAAACCTGTCTGCAGTATGACCTTATCAAGAGCTAATAGAGAAATGTGAATTCTGATTGAATAAGTTTTCTGGCAATGGCAAGTTGGCCCTATGTGATAGCCAATGAGCACCAAGGAGAGATGGGGCCATGGTAGGTTGGCTGTATGTGATAGTCTTAGCAGTTTATCCCATCTCTCCTTGGTGCTGATTGGCTATCACAGGGCCAACTGACCATGCCCCCATCTCTCCTTGGTGCTGATTGGCTATCACATGGGCCAACTTGCCATGGCCCCATCAATATATAGTGGAGCAAAGAAAATGTCATACTTATATGGTATTTTATATCTAATATCTAATATATCTACAATACTGAATATTAAAGCAGAATAGGCAGTGAGTTTTCAGGAAATGTTTTTGCATCATTACAGTTTATCCAGTGGAGAAATTACACAATGCAGAGTTGTATCCCTTACTATCCTGTAGATTATGATTATACTCTCAGACTACAGAGTGCATCAATCATTTTAAGCCCTTTTTTGCTCCAACATCCTAGATAAATATTTTGATAGTCGCAATAAGCAACAAAGCAGGAATCTGTTCGAGATGTTATTTCTGTCACTTAAGAAAAATGTGATGATCTAAGGCTCAATGCCTGATATCAAGACCGGTATTCATGTCACCCTGTCTGGTCCCTTCTATGCAGGGTGATTATGACATTGTCATCAACGACTATGCTAAAGCCAAGTCCCTTTTTGCTGATACTGAAGTCCAGGTTTTCAAGAGGGGTAAGTATTTGCTTAATTCTTCTGAAACCTTTCAATTGAATTGGTGAAGCCTATATATATCGCTAGTTTAGACTTTTACTGATTAATCTTTTTGTAATCCATCTTCAAACAGATAAATGGCATGATTATTAAAATCTCACATTAGTATCATTAATAAGGCTATGGTTTTGCACAATTGCGCCCCCACAGTCTATCCACCAGTGTTTTGGATGGGTAAATCCTAGTCAAAATAGTGCTTTAACATGTGCACTCCCCAGTCATACATGTTCCTGTGTGATTTAAACATCAGGGCTCGAAGTACTTTAAAAAATTTTTTCCTGTCTTTTATAATTGTAGTACTTTTTTTTAGAAATGAAATATATTAGTTTTTGTTGACATTATACTTACTTCATTTTTTACGGTGCACCCAATTTTTTAGGTTGGGTGCACCAGTACACCTACATGTATTCCCCAAAAGCAATTTTGAGCCCTGAATATGCATACTCCCCAGTCATACCTGTGTCACTTAATTTATCCTACAGTGTATCTGGAGGTGGAGAAGCAGATTGAGGCATTCCGAGGTCAGCTGACAGAAAAGCTGATGCAGCTCCCCTCTAGCCTGGACGAACAGAGCAAACTCATCAGGTAAAACTCAACAATGATTGTCTGTATTTGTGGGAGGTTGAAGTGATTTTTACTGCCTCCTTTAACAGGAGTAAAAAACTGCACTCTTTCGGACCCTTTTTCCTAACATGTTGTGCTGATTTTGTCATATCTAGATACCTGATGGACCTGGGTGCACCAGGGGACCCTGCATGGGACTGTCTGGTCAACCAGCAGAAGTGGCTGCTGCAGTTACTGCTCGACTGCAAGGAGGAGCACATAAAGCAAGGTCGGTGTAACTCACCAGTCATGACTCAACATTGACTCAACATTGTTATTAATCCAAAGCAGTTGAAACTTCATAGATTTGCAACTTAGGTGTTGTCATGTAACAAGCAGATATGCTATGACATGCTAATCCATGCAATGCTTTTCCAATTTTTTTCCAATTCTGGGCAACGATCGGATATCCGAATATTTTGTTTTGACAATCTGTGCAGCAGAATGTAACCATTGGGAGACAATTTCAGGTAAACAGAAGGAAAGCTTCATTATTAGATCCAACCAAAGCCTTGAATACTTGCAAAACGAATGACTCTCTGTGTTAAAATGTAGCAATGTAGTTAACTTTCCTTTCCTGATTTTGTTGGTGCCCGTAGCCCAGTCGGCCCCTTCGGTGGCAGGTTCAGAAGGTGACACCCCGTCACACACTCCCCTGAAGTACAGACCGAGTGTGGGAACACCTGGATCTGTCTTCACTCCAGGTAATGCTTTTATATGTGCCATATTTGTAGTAGATTTGTAGCTACTTAACATATGACTGTATCCTGGCCTTGCAGACATAGTACTATAATTCACTATGTACAAAATGTACACGATAGCAAATTTCACGGTCTGAGAAAAGTTCATGGTGGCGACAGGTGCAGAAAAAGAAAGTCCAGGAATTATTTGTTACCTGTAATGATAAGTTAACAGTACAGTAGTGACAGTGAAAACAGTGAACATAAAAGTGCAGTGAAAAAATCAGGAATTACAGTAATGGAAAGCTACCTAGGTTACAATGGGCAAGGCTAGAGTTACCCTACATCTAACTGTAACACTTGAATATTAGATATCTTTCCCTTGTTACTCCGTGAAGGAGGTCAGGACCTCCGGACGGAGTGTTGTGATCGGCTGATTTTTCGTGTTCGCAGTCAAAACACTGGGTTCTCTTTGTGTAATCGGCACGCAATTTTATACGCCGTCTGCGGGCATGCCCGTGTTGATGCACGAATGTGTATTTTTGCCGTTGCTGCTTTCGCGGTCAATGTAATATCGCAGACGCACCCCTACAATTACGAGGCGAATTGGAATGGTCCAGAAAAACGCGTTGTTTGGAATAGCAGTGGGGGGGGTAAAAGTTCATGCAGATACGGGGTGGTTTTTATAAGTGGTTCCAGATGTTTTTGCCCATGGTGAAGAGATGCCAAGTTTTTTGGAAGATGTTCGCAGCCAAAACGCATTCTTCCGTACGTCGCATTTTTTGTGTAATTTCGCATGTGGTGTGGCATTATGTCCGGGATGATGCACGTCTTTTTATTTTTACCGTAGCTGTTTTGATATTGGAGTAAATGGTTATTTTCGAAACATCCCCATGTCGTTGAAATGTTGTCGTCCGTTTATGTCACCGGTAGTAAGTCGCGGCGGGGCTGATGGGGCGGAAATGTGGGGTGGTCAGAGGTCAACATTAGGAAATGTTAATACCGATGACGTAATCCTATCGATTTCAAACTGGTCGGGTGTGGCGACCTAGTGGCGGCGTGTATTTAGTCACGTAGCAACTGGCCGGTCGTCCTAGCAACGACACATGGCCAATATTTTTGGGTTGGGCCGCTCCATAGTGTTAGTGGAGCAGCTCTTTGTAAACATGGACAATATTTTTGAGCAACCCATCAATGTGTTCTGCCTCGTGGTCGGACGTGGTCTGGGGCTGGTAAACCGCACATACAGTACTAGTAGATCGGGTAATTTTATGATTTGCTAGTTGTAAAGGCGTCGTGTAGTATGAGCCGGTATATGAAGAAGTAGCCTGTGTTACACAATCATGCTTTCGGCCGGATTGATGTGCAACTGTTACTAATTGCAGGGACTGCGCTAATGCCGACCAGTCGCGCTGTCCTGATACACCGCGAATGTGCGAGTGTTCCCTGTAGACAGTCCCGGGAGTCATTTTTCTCGCACATTCCAGGAGCCAAACCAAAATACGTTCATGAACCGAGTCCAAAAAACCGAAACGTGAAAATCGGATGATCGGACCTGATGTACATTTCTCTTTCTGTAGATTGTACACACAATACACACATCTTTAGATAATCTGGCCATGGCAGGTAAAAAAAAAGTAACCCTGAATCATACTAGATTAGCGTAAATGCATGTTTATGCGTTCAAAACAAGAAAAGAAATTGTTTCCCGGTATTAATCTCTTGAACCACGGCGCTGAATATTGACGCAAAAATATTTCGGGCATCGCGCGCCCTTCCCCGTTGTTTAGACTGTATGCAAATCCCGCGTCACGTGTCGGCATTTCGCATCTCTGATTGGTTGTTGCGTCTTAAGATGACTGAGCCGACGCGCGTTTAAACAATTTTTCTTTGTTCGATTTATCACACTTCACAGAGAATTGTCGCCAATGGCTACTTCTTTTTGTTGCAATATATAATACTTCACGGAGAATTGTCACCTATGGCTTCTTGTTTAAGTTGGATTAGCCAAAGAAAAATCATGTTTAGTGTAGCTTCCTAGATGTATCATGTCTATAACTAGTGCTACCATACTTGTTCTGGGATACAGCAAATGTGCTTCCATTCCTATCTTCAAATTGCTACAATACTTGCTCTTTAGATCATGATAATAAATAAACAAACAAACAAACAAACACCCATCTGTGTATATCTCCCATCAGGACGCTCCAGCGTAAAGAGGATGCCCAGCTTCGGGTCCACCCAGTCTCCTGACCAGGCTGGTTGGAAGTTCAAAACACCGCAGAGGGTGCAGTTTGTGGATGATCTGACAGATGTCCTTCTTGAGAACTTCCCTGACCTCTGGAAGCTTTGGGAAGGATACTCCACAGGGAGTCTCCTGAATGAAGTAATTGCATCATCTTTGAATAAAATAATCTATTATCATAGCTACCGGTACCATTGTATTATGCACTTCTTAAGAATTTATGCACGTTTTATCTTAGAATCTTTTATCTCAGATTTTATCTTAGAAAATGTCATAGAAAGTAATAATTTGCTATAAATTTCTTCACCTTAATCCTTCAGACTGCAGAGAAAGCTGATGTAGCAAACCAAGAGAAGGAGACACAGTTCAAGGTGAGAGGGCTGACAATGCCATCCCTGAGAGAAAAATTATGAAAACCTCATTTTTTCTTTGTTTCCAAATATATCATATCTTTGTGGTATTTTGGTGACTCACAGTTGTATGTTTTTTTTTGACTGATTGTTGTGTGTTTTGAAAATCAGAAAATGGTGGAAGAAGTGATGGCTGTGTACAGTAAGCTGTTGCGAGCAGCTTTCCTCCCCGAGTCTTTGTCTTCTTCTCCTGAGGAAAGGATCAAATACGGGGTGTGGCCTGAGGGGAAGTACGACAACATGGCACACTGGCTGCCACAGTTTGTCAGGACAATAAGGTGAGGTTGAGAAGTGAGAGATTTTGTCCTACCTTTCTTCTGAAGTGTCTTATGAAAACACAGGATAATAAGCATAGGAAAGAGCAGAGTTTAAGGGGCCAGAGTTGTGTTTGGTAAGTTGAGTCTACATAATAGCCAATCAGCACCAAGGAGAGATTGAACTGTGCCAAGTTAAGTCTGTGATAGCCAATCAGCACCTAGGACAGATGGAAGTATGGCAAGTTGGCTGCATGTGATAGCCAATCAGCACCAAGGACAGATGGGGCCATGGTAAGTTGGCCCTATGTGATAGCCAATCAGCACCAAGGACAGATGGGACTATGGCAAGTTGACCCTACATGATAACCAATCAGCACCAAGAACAGATGGGACTATGGCAAGTTGGCACTGTGTGATAGCCAATCAGCACCCAGGAAAGATGGGGCCATGGCAAGTTGGCCCTATGTAATAGTCTTAGCCATGGTCCCATCTCTTTTTGGTGCTGATTGGCTATCACATAGGGCCCTTTGCCATGCCCCAATCTCTCCTTGGTGCTGATTGGCTATCACATAGTCTCAACTTACCACAGTCCCATCTCTCCTTGGTGCTGATTGGCTATGTGATCAGAGTCGATAAGCATTGTGTTCTTGTGCTTTTTTAATGACTGTTGACTATTTGGTTATTTTTAGATCCTGCTATGGCACCCTGTCTGGTATGAACCTACCAGATGAGACGACCCATGATGTGAGAGATGTGGCCCAGGATACCAGAGTCCACTGTGTAACCACACTTCTGCAGCAGGCTACTGAAGGTAGGGAAACTCTATTGTTGTTGAAATGATTGCACTAGATCTTGGCCATACATATTAAGACTGCCACATATAACTCAGAGATGAAGATTCTTCCATTGAAACTTAATTTCCTGTGCCTCCAACTTTATGTAATAAGATTTTTCAAACAATGTTTATACTTTGCTAATGCCACTGCTACATTAGATTTTCATAAATAAGACGTTTTGTACATCTTCTTCTACATTGTCAGACTAACACTCCCTGATTCTTCCAAAGATGTGAAGGCCCTTAATGACAGAGAGACCTGGACTGTGGAGAGGGATGACAGAGGTGGCATTACCACACTTGTAAGTCTTGAATGATAGGATGTGAAGAATGTTTGTTCTTGTTGTCTAACAATGCTATAGTGCAGCATAACTTACAAGACTACTTTGTCATAATACATTACAAATGTTCAGTTTATTCCATATTTATTCTATATTATTTTTTGCATAATTGACACGCAGTGATGTCCATTCATTATTCTATGTTTATTCTATATTATTCTTGAATGATTGACATGCAGTGATGTCCCTTCATTTTGATGAAACATGTATATCATTGCATTATAATTCTTATCCTTTAGATTTTGCATGAAGAGATGCTTGTACAAACCTTGTTAGAATAGTTCTGATGTTCTTGTGATAGAATTTCTTTGATGTTCTTATGATAGCAGTTCTTTGAAGTTCTTATGACAGAATATATTTGATGTTCTTATGATAGCATTTATTTGATGTTCTTGTGATAGCATTTCTTTTGTTGTTTCTATGTTTTGTTTAGTGATATCTCGTATGATGCTCAAATGCACTCTTATCTTTCCCTGCAGCCCCTGTTGTTTGAGAACATCATCACAGAACTCATCCAACACCTGAAGGAGGTGGTACAGAGTAGGGCTGAGGAGTCAGAGGTCAGAGAATAATAAGATCCTATTGGACTGATTTTCTTAGCGATAAAGAATCCGAAGCTCCTATTGGTAGTACTGGTGTATTTGGAATGGCTCTCTGCAGTTAGACTCTATTTAGAGGTGTATATGACCACAAGTTCTCTGGGAGGAGGCCCAATCAGCCCCTGATTGTGAGAGATTGTATAATACAAGCATGATAAGGAAAATGCAAAGAAGGATCACTCCATGTTGGTGCCATTGAAACACTTGATAAGCATGGGTCCATGTCAAAATAAACTATTTTGTTTGATCCTTCTGTTAATGTTTTTCAGATATTCCGAGGTGCAGACACACGGATAAAAGTGTCCAAACTGTGTGAAGACATGCTATCAGTAAGTTGTAGTTGTTTTGTCTGTGCATTGATCCATATAACAGTTACTGATTTGGTACTTGTATGCTCTCTTGTTAACATGTTAACCTTTTGTTTTGCTTCTTACAGGCTTTTTCTGTCACCATGGACCAGCTAGCATTCAGAACAGACACCGAGGCAGAGACAACGTAAGAACCCATCCATTTTATTTTTTGTTCCTTCCAATAATAGGCTACATTCTTTCAAAATCCATGACTAATTTACTTCATCCAGTACAGCAATTACTATAGCTTGCAGTGTTTAGAAGAACAGTGTGTACCTTGCCAATTGTAGTAACTTCTATATAATTGTCAATACCAAGTTTTCATTTCAGACTCACTTACCTTGTAATAGATCTTACTGTTGTCATTTTGTCTGGTATATCATAGATGTCTTGAAACAATATGTCTAGTGCATTGCTTCTGATTCTCTATTGTCAGAAAGCCTTCTACATATATACATATAGAATACAACACGGTGTATTCGGTATCGCCCGAGGTACCAGCCCGACCGCGCGTCGGATCGCCCGACGGCCGAAGGCCGGAGGGAGATCCGATCCGCGGGAGGGCTGGGACCGAGGGTGATGCGGAATACACCGTGTTGTATTTTATTTATGTCATACCCACCCAAGAAAACACGCCTTTCAATGCAAAATGAGCAGAAAGTTGGTGTCCCTAAACCAAAAAGTGCAACAACATCAATTCCAACGTCCGAATTTTGCATTCGAATTTTCGAGAGCGTTGCACGCGGTTAGGGCGAAACGCGTTCGAATCGTTCTATGGAACATTTGGAAGCCCCGGGCCGTACGCGTTAAGAACCCCCGGGCCGTACCGCTAGTTATCACACGGGCCGGAACACCCGTATCGAACGTAATCGCGGCCCAGGTAGGACATAAATGTATATATATGAAATTTATCTGACTTCTCCTTCTCCTACAGACCAACATCGCAGCAGCCATCATCAGGTCATGATGAGCTGACCAGTCCATCTGAACACATCCCTCCTCTGGTCAGAAAGTTTTCATTTTGTAGTTAGTCTGTTGTGTTTACAATAGTCTGTTCTGTTGACAATATATTATAAGAACTGCAGTACCATTACTATATGCTAGGTCATGCTTCAAATCCTTTATTTTGCATGTAGATGTTTTGTGTCAAGTCAACATTTCTCATTGGTCTTCATTTTCCCTTTTAGGAGCGCCGCCTGGTGATTGTATTGAGCAACTGCAGCCACACAAGGGAAAAGGTCCTTCCAAAGTTGATAGATCTCCTAGAGAAGAATGGATATCCAGAGGTGCAAAAAGTTCAAAAGGTTTGTACCAACATGTTCCAGCATTGCTGGTTTACAAAGTATGCTACTAATATCCTATTGGAGGTAGAATTACTACCAACCTTTGACAATGCGCAAAGGGTGACCAGACCTTAGAGAAATGATTTTCCTGTAAATTTAATATACCCAGGAAGATGAAGAAAGAATAAGAGGAAGAAACTTCTTTAATGATCGCAGAGTGAAACAAACATCTTGAACATTGTTGTAGTATCTAGATGTACATACCACATATGCTACGCACTAGCAGCTAAATGTAATGAATAAGAACATAAAATACACTAGATAGACTGATAGAGAGGGTTGAATCATAATGTTATTGATATATAATTTATAATACATGTATATTAATCATATTGACCAATATATGAATCATTGTTGTCATATCTTGAACATTACACACTGCATGCTCCACACTAGCAGCTAAATTAGTAAATGTAATAAATAGGAACTATACATATTAAGATACACCGGATAGACTGATAGGGTTGAATCATAATATTACATTGAATCATCATATTGTTGACCAACATATGAATCATATTGACCAACATATGAATCATATTGACCAACATATGAATCATATTGACCATCATATGAATCATATTGACCAATATGTGAATCATAATATTATTGACCAATATATGAAGCATATTGACCAACATATGAATCACTTCCCCAGTAAAGACCCGATATGATACGATACGACTTTATTGGTTTATCGCATTTTACAGAGACCGAATTAAAAAACAATTTACATGAAGGATTTTACCTAGTTTTTAACATTACAGACATATATATTTACAAGCTTTCAACTTTTAAAACTAGCATAATTAAAAGGTATACGGAAGAACATAAAAAATTACATATGTTGTCCGATTTTAAATTCACTTTACATAGTTTGAAAACTAGCAGCCGTACTGATTCAGCAGTCATACTGATTCAACACCGTGTGGATGTTGATAAAATCATCCAGGATATTGACACGTATGTGTGTTGTTATCCGTGGGTGTGTCAACAGAAGGTGAATAGTTGTTGGCCTTACTGCCGGGTCTGTGTTTGATGTGAGGGTAGAGAACGTGTGTCTCACAACAAACAATCAATCAATCAATCAATCAAATGGTCTATTTGTGAAAACAAACAAGAACTTGTAGCCGTTGGCTAAATTGTGTCTTGTACTGTACAATTTGATTTCTTAACAATTCTGTCATAACACATTAAAATTGATAAGTTATTCAATAAAATCCATATCATTGCACATTAATTACTTAAAAATAACAGTTTAAAGTTCAACATTAAAACAATCTATTACAGACATGTATGAAATACTAACATTTACAATATTATACAAGGTAAAAACAAGACTGGAGGAAAGACTAAACATCCTAGTTGACCACCATAATATAGTTATTAAAGGTTTTATGTGCAGAAACAATGCGGCACGGTGTGCGTCCTGGTTCAGTTGTGACAGCTCAAAAGAATAATCCAAATTTTCCTTTCCAACGTATTACCAAAAATAACATGAAAGGCATTTTTTGTTTCAATTTTGTTGTAGTCAAAATAAACACTCAAGGCAAGGTAAATACCACATTTATGAAATATCCTGCCAGCTTCCCTGTACATAACATGTTTAATGGAAAATTGCATGAGTGTTGCCTACCTGCCTAAATGCTGTGTTGTGTTAAACTGTTGTTTGATGGAAAATTGTACATTCTTGTAATAATGTGTATGATTTTTGCCTTGCTTTTTTTTCTTCATATTAACCAGTGATTAATTTCATTTTATCACCTTTACAACATTCATTATAGCATTAGAAGTACAGAAATACCTAAGACCACACCAATTTAATTTGTTGGTTCTCAGATTTTTCCAGAAAAAGATTGAAGTGACAGGGTGAAAAAAAAAAGAAAATAAAAACAGGTCTAGGCATTCCATTATAGCCCCAAATGCTTCGAGTCATGAAGTCAACAAAAAAGGCTGGGTTGAAATTTAAACAATGAATTATGAACTTTTGATCAAACCACTGCATTGGTAGATGGAAAAGCTGTAACACCTAGGAAGAAAAGGACTTTCATCAACTGTTGGGGGCAAAATATGAGCATATTTGAGTTGATTCAGAACCAGAATTTTTTTTTTCGTAAATCAGAAAAAATGAAGAGGCGAATCCGAGAACCAACAAATTAAATTGGTGTGGCCTAAGAATTAAAATGTTACTCCAACCTAAAACTGCCAGAGCATCAGTCTTAGACTTCAACAGTCCAGTTAACACAAGAGGTCTAAGGGCACCAGGGTTGAAAGAAAATCAGTTTCTGGTTCAGAACCAGTTAGTGACCCAAAACTTACAGACCTTGCATGGGGCCACTTTTATCCAACAACCTCCAAAAGGAAGGACCCTTTGCTGTGCATGATTACAAATCTGGGAGATGCTTTATGGTTTAGCTGCTTTGATTAGCGCAATTAGTGGCTGGAAGAACATATAGCACGAGAATAATCAAAAGACGTTTTGTTTACGGGTCATCCCCTTTGTGCCCCCAGATAGTTCAAGTACAGAGGGAACAAGAATGTGGGAGGGGGAATCAAAGACCACACTTCCTCCAATAAGTAGCATGTGGGTATCCACGGTGGACAATAAGGCCACAGCAAGTAAATTTTATGGATGACATCCTCCGGAGACTCTGAATCTAATGCGAGCGGGCGAAAAAAAAAACAAAGCGGGCCGAAAAAAACAAGGTTCTTACATTTTAGAATTTTGACTCAATCATTGTACAAATGGTTTTGATTCAGTGGGAACATCACATATACACAGCCAGCATCACTTATCACTGCAACAAAGTAAGAAACAAAACATTAAATCAGAGCATTTTCTTGTCTTCTCAACAGTCAACTTATCTGCCATCCAACTTCTGGCATGGCAACAGACATCTTTGCCCATTTTCAGCATGGTGACCACTGTCAGAAGGCCACAAAATTTCTTGTATTTTTTTTGCCAAATCAGGTGAAAATTAATGTGCACGCTGATGTCATCCATAAAAATGACTTGCTGTGGCCTAAGGGATAATGGGGTGTTGCCATACATGGTTGAGTTTCGAACCAGCCATTACTAAAGCTGTGATGTCTTAATGTAAGAATGTCCCGGTCATGATGTCAGAATTTGTTTCAGTTTAGCAAAGAATACCTTGAAGTTCGTGTTGAACATTATGTCCTCCAGGCCTTAGACCCAAAACTTAGTGTTTGAAACCCTACACTGTATAATCTTTATTTGTATGAACAGCCTTTTCTATCTACTTTTAAGTACCATGGACTATCTAAAATACTGCATGTTTGCAGATATGCTATCTACACCCACCTGAGGTATCAACAGAAGCTGAATGTATTGCCAGCTTCTGTATACCCACATCTCCTGGATTTGATTATCAGTCCTGGGTGCTACTGCCTGACACCTTTGAAAGCTAACCTCTTCTTATCTCAAGTTCAATATCTCTGCCAGTGGTTCATTCTCAGTGGCGATGACAAGAAGGAAAATCCCACCTGAAGCCCACTGACAGTACCACAGTTTTAAGTTACCATTAAAACAGCACTGCCTGTAGTGTTGGTGGTGGGAAAGGGTGTGTTGAGGGAACACAGGCCACTGTTGGTGGAAGGTCTTAGGCAGGGTCTAACACAAGGCTTCCTATAAACATTGAGCTTTCATTCTATGTTACTAGCCAAAGCATGTGCAGGGTGTGCTACGACAAGTTTTTTCAGGTTTCTCCTTGCAGACTATAAAATACATGTAATGCTAGAATTTGGAAGAAAAAATAAAGCAGTGAGATAATAATAAGACAAACACCTGTTAATGTATCCTTGGCATTTTGTAACATTTCATCAGACAGTGCTAGAAAGATGATGATCATGGATATTTGGGACAAACACAAAGTCAGAACTGAGAAGCTTAGCAGTTATCATAAAAGCATTGCAATACAAGTCTACAGAGAGTAGATAGAGGTCAAAAACCTAAAAGTGTGCTGTAAAAAAATAACAAGAGAAATGGTAATTAATGCTAATGTGAGTTCTTTTTTTAGACATCCGGTAGCCAACATACCAGTGCACTAATTCCGTTATGGTTGTCGGGAAGACTTTGGCATGCTCATTAAGTCAAAGGAAGTGATTTAGAAACTTAAGACTGTCTGAATGTCAAGGGCAAGTTCCACCATATCCATCTTGAAACTCAAGCCGGCTTTCCTCTGACAGGCAGCGGAAGTTCTCTCCTGAAATATAAATCCTGAAGAAACAACCCTCCGCATAGGGCAGAAATCTGGGGTGTTTGTTTAGGGAAAATTAGCAGTTTTGGCACCTGAAGGTACAAGAAAGAGAGGAAGCCAAACGGACTGTCAGGTGAAACAAGAAACAAATGTTTCCTCAAGGTCAAACTTAATGTCAAGGTGAAATACAACTAGTTTGGAATGGGAAGAAAGGAAAAAGTTTTAAATTTTTTGGAAGTCGAATGGAAATTGTTGTTAGGCATTGAAGAAAGGTATTCTGTCTTGTTGTAATTTCCCGGCACATGTATTTTAATATCTCTGATTTATTCTCTAAGCAGAAGTTCTCTCCTGAAATGTAAATCCTGAAGAAACAACCATCCGCATAGGGCAGAAATCTGGGGTGTTTGTTTAGGGAAAATTAGCAGTTTTGGCACCTGAAGGTACAAGAAAGGGAGGAAGCCAAACGGACTGTCAGGTGAAACAAGAAACAAATGTTTCATCAAGGTCAAACTTAATGTCAAGGTGAAATACAACTTCTTTGAAATGGGAAGAAAGGGAAAAAATAGCAAAGTTCTTTGATCACATTCCCTCAACCATTTATTTTTGGCTCGTAAAAAATAACTGGTTGTGATCAAAGAACTTTGCTATTCAAAGAACTTTGCTTTTCATACATTTACCAACCTGATGAAATTGTTTACAGAGGGAAGAAAGGGAAAAGTTTTACATTTTTGGAAGCCGAATAGAAATTGTTGTAGGGCATTGAAGAAAGGTATTCTGTCTTGCTGTAATTTCCTGCCGCATATATTTTATTATTTCTACTAATGCTCCATTATGTGGAAAACCGTCTCTGATCCACTGTGGGAAGAAAGGAAAAAGTTTTAAATTCTTGGAAGTCGAATGGAAATTGTTGTGAGACATTGAAGAAAGGTATTCTGTCTTGTTGTAATTTCCTGCCACATATATTTTAATATCTCTACCAATATGCTCCATTATATGGAAAACCGTGTCTGATCCACTGTGGGGAGAAAGGAAAAGTTTTAAATTTTTGGAAGTCAAATTGAAAGTGTTATGAGGCATTCAAAAAGGTATTCTGTCTTGCTGTAATTTCCTGCCACATATATTTTAATATTATCTACTAATGCTTTGTTATGTGGAAAACCGTGTGTGATCCACTGTGGGGAAATTGAAAACCGTGACCTCCAGTCCATTTCAGCCTGATGACGTTAATTGAAGGGAAATTGAAAAGTCTTTAGTTCCTGATAAACTTAGCCAGGAGCTACCAGGGATTCAATTAAGAAGGCAGGAATGGTTGGCACTATAGCCAGAGGAGGCACATGGAGTAATTATGTCTGGTCAATATATGGGAAGAGTGAGAGGTCAGGTTATCTTTTCTGACTTGCCAACTTAGCAATTATAGTAAGGCAGTGTAGTATGGAAATAAATTAACTAGAAAAGAAGAGTAGGAAAGTTCATGAAAAGTTACTGAAGCAAGAGTTTGAAGAGATTATAGTTAAAGACATCCCTAATGTTAGTTGAAGATGTGCAGATATGACGTTGCTTGTGCCACAAGGTTTTTGAAAAGGTTGACGACGTGCTGTTATGAGATTGAATATTAATATTGATAATTCTTCATTCAGAGCCACTGGTTCTGCTCCATGTGTCACTGGCTCCCCACAGACAAAAGCTTGATCTATATCCTTTACCATTGCTGTCACCAAAGGGACCCCAAATATCTCATTACTCCTGACACAAAATGGATTTTTCTGTAAAGTTTGTTGCCCATACTTGCCTTATGTATTGGATAAGGGATTGGGCTTGGCAGGACATACCGACAACAACTGTCGAGTATTGGCTGGGAGAAAATGAAATTCCTCAACAGCCCGTGAAAATGCAATCTAGCCTTCAATGTGCCAATGCCAATATGGAGGCAAAGGAGTTTTCAAAGTGAGAATTCAATATCGTCCTCAAAATGGAGTGCCACCTTATTGAAGAGCAAGGGTTCAATGAGAGGTCAACAATTTGATGTTTAAAAGTTTTGTAATACCAAGTCATGTCAACTTGAAGTCAAAAGTCATTGAGGTGTTATGTTTACGAAAGGAAAACATATTGTTTTTGCTCAGTTTCTTCCTCTTCTTCCTCTCCAAACAAATAAGGTCAATGACCTGAACCAGATGTCTGTCACCATGGTAACTAGTGTTGGGTTATATCATGTTGCAATTTTATAGCAGGAGGGATTTAGACTCCTGTCACCAAATATATGAATGTGTTTGAGTAAGAATTAACAGAGTAGACCATATGCAAAGGTAATCATTATATGTGCATTTGCTTTGCAAATGTTACCATTCTACATTTTCTTTACTTTTTGAAGGGATCTCAGAGCTGTTTTTCTGGCCTGGATGAGAAGTTGTTTGATGCGTACCTGGAACAGAAGGCAGACCCTCTGGTGGGAGCGCTGGAGCCGGGAGTGTATGCTGGGTACTTCATGTGGAACGACTGTCTCCCTCCCAGAGGTCAGCCACTGCTTTTGGGAGCTTCAAACTGACAATTTATCCTTTGCAAAGTTTCCATTTGACACAACATTTTTTAAAACACTCATACTTGATAGAAAGTAAAGTTCAATATTGAACTGTCAAGAGCATGTTAATACTTAAGGTTTCCAGAATATTAGCTAACAAGTACATGTACCAGTTTTGTGTTTATGAGGCTACAGGGAAATACATGTAGGTACTGCGGGCTCCCTATTGCCGTAGCCATTGACATTGTCACAATAGGGAGCCCGCAGTAACTATAAAGGTATAAAAGATGGTACCCAGGCTAACAAGGAAAGGGGTTCATAGTATTGCCATTTATCTTGACTTACTAAGTTGTACCAAACACAAGTAGGTTATTCAAGAGAATGTGATCATGAAGAGTTGAAACATACATGTATACATTATATAAACCATAAATATTTTTATTACCTTTGAATCTGCAGGTGTGAGGAATTATGTGAAGGAAGCCCTGATGAACCTAATAGCTGTTCATGCTGAGGTAAGTATACACAATGTCATGTACTTCTGCTAAAGTTTCTTTTACCAAACATATTGTATCTTCACATTAACCGTACAAGTGCAAGGTTAGATCGACAAGATTCTGGAAAAAGACACATAAACCTTAATGTTAATATAAAGGAATTACTAAAGGATGTAAAGACAGGTGTTTTCATTTATGTGATCAAAGTCTTAGTAATTGTCTTTGCTGTAGCTTAAGTGCTCTCCAAACAGCATATGTACAAAGTTGAAGACCTTGGCAAACACCCTACCCATTGCTTCCTGTGTTTGGGATTTTGCAGCTTTCCGGCTCTGTTTATCTTGGCCTGTACCCTTCCTTTCATCTCTTGATAGGTGCATAAATATTATGGAGTACTTCAACCCTAGGTTAACAGTACATGTACATTGTTTTCCTGACACTGATAGCGGCCCTCTAGCAGCAGTGTGCTTCTTGACGTGTTTTAGTTTGTTATTTCATCCACCATTAAAAGTTGCTATCATGTTTTTTTGTGTGTGTCAGTAGCGGTAGTACTGTATCTAGTATCTGAATCTTAAATTTGAGTAGTAGTCTTAAAAATAAAACAGAAAACCATGTTGATTGTATTACAGCAGTACAAAGAGTTGCCAAGTTCTGTAACTGATTTTCTGTACTTTTGACAAGTTGCGTCTGCTTCAAAGGGTTTAATAAACTGCTACAAAGTCAAGAAAACTGTACACTGACAGATGTAGAAAGATCCCATCTGCCTGTGGGTCTCTTGCAGGTGTTTTTGATCTCCCCCATCTGTGTGTGGTCTCCTGCAGGTGTTTTCCATCTCCCCGTTGCTGGTGGAGAGGGTTCTGTCCAGACTGCTGCAGGCCCTGGCTGAGGAGATGCTGAGGCTGATGGAGTGTGTGACGGACTGGAGTCGAGATGGAGCCATCCAGGTGAGAGGATCATCTTAAAGCATCTGATGGTAGAATCAAATCAAATAAACTTTATTGCTCAACAACTGTAACTGGTACAATGTATGGCAAAGAAGAAACAACAGGGGTAGATACATGAACTATACTAAAATACAATTCTAACAGAGTTAATCCATAATGACACAAAAGCTAATCTATTGTATGTGTTCTTGAGGAGAGTATTTTTATTACATTCTATAATTCAGGAGATATGTCAGTTATTTACATTATGGTGTCGCTTTTGTAGTGATTCAGATGTGAATTTTCCAATGTACACTGATACCTGAGTAGGGCATGAATGATCCTAAATGCCACTGTCTTGACTTCAAAAAGCCATTTCATTGTAGAAGTTGAGGAAGCACAATAAGGAAACTTCCTCTAAACGTTGTTTCAGCTACAAATACGTGTATCGTCCTATATTTTTTTGGCAGTCTTATCGTTTCAATCAAGGAAAAAGTCTCCTGACCACCCATCACACCTTATAGCAGTATATAGCACTCATATTCATTTTGATTTCATCAAAGTATGCTGATAAGTGTCAAATTTTCTTTCGGAAACATTTAAGCGATGTGGCATCAAGTAGAAGTAACTACCATTGAGGTACTTCTTGTTATAAAATGGACGTCCATGGAAGGTGACTGTGCCTCATTTTAATCTTTTAAGCTTAAGAAAGCTCTTCTGTGGCATTTTCTCCTGATAGACCCAGGTTAAGATGCTAGGCAAAAGCTCAACAACAACTCATCCCTGTACATCCATGTAGAATCCTTCGCAAATTGAGTCCCAGTGGAGTCTGTGGTGTCACAATTTAATCTGGGTGTTCTGGCTGCTGGGAGAAGCTATCATTAGTGCGAATCAATGTCTGAACCTGCATTGATTTTGTCTGTTGGCACAGGTAGTTAAGTTTGATCAGGCTTTCACGTGACATCTTAAGTATACTTTTTCTACATCTGCCAAGTAGGTTATGTTTTTGTCGCTTTTAGGATTGTTCATTGTCATTATGTTTACAGAAGGAAAACATAATTTGTTTTTGCTCTGTTTCCTCTTCTTCTTCTCCAAACCAATAAGGTCAATGGCCTGAACCAGATGTCTGTCACCATGGTAATTAGTGTTGGGTTACATCATGTTGCATTTTTATAGCAGGAGGGATTTAGACTCCTGTGTTTGTGAATGTTTCAAATATTACCTTTGTAGTCAAATTCTTGGTTTGCATGAAGCCTCCAATATAAAAAGCACACTACTTGAAAGCCTTACATGTACAAGACAATGGTGGTTCATTTATGTCCAAACAAGCAGAAGCCATCCATATTTTTTTGGCCTTCTTCGTCTTTCTCATGAAAGTCTCCTCATCACCCTTCTATTGACATTGATCCTAACCTTCGCATGGAGAGAAAATTGTATTCCTCAGACTCATCACCGAAATTGACCCTGGCGTACACCCTGAAATTATCCCCTCCCAGCGCTTCTTTTATTCATCTAAATCTAATTCCAGCGAAGGTACATGGAACCCCTGTGCCATTAAGGTATTAACGCGGGACGACCTTTCCGTCATGAACCCTGGACTGTTTGTAAGCTATCTCCATTATGATATTATCTCAGTCTTGTATTGGTTAACCCTGAGGATACTTTCAGGCCACTGGGTATGATGACTATTTGGTTGTAATCATTCTCTATTCAATGGAAGACTGTCCTCGACAAGATGATACATTCCATGTCTTGTAGAAGGATGTATGTGGGTGAAATGTGCATTATTTTGAATTATTATTTGGTGGTGCACTGACTTTAGTGACGTACATCCAGAGAAGTTTTTGGACTTCTTGAAACACTTGTCTAACGAGTGGAAACTTCTTACACTGAAATACTTTAATTTGAAAATGATTACTGTTGAAATGCTATGCTGAGTATGCGTGCTTGTGACACTAGCACCCAACATGGGTAATTTTCTCATCTTGTGAAATGTTGAGGGCCCAAACAATTTGACCTCTGTCTGACCTTAGTCTACTCCTAAGTTTCCTCATCAGGCCCTGAAGGGCGCCGCATCCCTTCCCATAGTCCCTCACTAATGGGGCGTGTCCGTGGTACTGACAGCACATCCACAGCAGATCCTTCTCCAGTTGGCAGCAGGGATAAATCAGGGACGGGAGACTGGCTGGCTGCTGGCTCATCCCTGCTGGTGGGACAGTACGAGGTGTCTAATACATGCACCCTATATCCCACAATCCATCTGGATAAGGAGACCATATGTAACCTACAAAATGGAATACTGCAAGGTTGTTTGGGAAGAGGGCTTTTTATGAAGTTTCAGACTGTTTCTACCCTTTTTTAGTGGCTCATCCCTGCTAGTGGGACAGTACGAGGTGTCTAATACACGCACACTATATCCCACAATCCATCTGGATAAGGAGCCCATATGTAACCTACAAAATGGAGCACTGGTGTGCTTAACTGCAGGGTTGTTTGGGAAGTGGGCTTTTTATGAACTTTCAGACTTGTCTACATATGGCAGAGGAAAAATGTCCAGATTATGCATGATGTACAAAATGACTAACAAACTTAGTATCTGATACCAGCCCAGAAAAGAACAAAAAACAGTTATGCCTTCAAATATCGAGTTATGAAGAATTGAGGTGTTCAAAAACTCGACGTATTTCCCAAGAACTATCGTAAGAGTGGAACTCGTTGCCACCAAGCACAGTTGGGGCGTCATCACTAGAAAGCTCTGAACAACTCCTGCAATTAAATGTGCAAAGATTGCGTGTAACAAGCCGTTTGGTGTGGTATGGCTAGCTGCCGCCACGCCACGTGCCTACGAAGCTGGTGTGTTACGCCGAAGGGCGGTTATACCGGCCATACAGATACAGATACTCTCTTTCCCTTCGCCATACAGCTGGGATTTCTCTTGTACATGGATTATCATGATTTTACTCTCTAGAGGGAGACAAAATAGAAGTAAATCCGCTAATGGCTCTGAGCTGAAGTCTCATATATTCCCTCCTCTGATAAGAGTCAATTACTACATGTACATGTATGTCTGTCTGTGACCTATGACATGCCCTTGGCATGTACTCACCTTAACATGGAAATAGGCCATTAGTTCATTATAGAACTAATGTTGGTGTATATTTGTCCTGTGTGCTGTTTTCTCCTTTGAGTTTTTACCAAAAGGAATGCACCCTGCCTAGGTGGTCTTATTTATACATATACGTAGCCTGTCTGTGGTGGGTTAATAGTTTGTTTAGTGTACCAAATAATGCTGGTATGTCAGATTTCTATCTGTGCCGTGTTGGTGTTGTTCCCTCTTTGTTCCTCTTTGTGCCATCATTGTCCATATTTTCCTTGATGTCTACGGATAAAAATGTGCCATACACATATCTTAAATAGTGGTAAAAGGCCACATAGTATCAGCCTTTTTAGTTCAACATTGAATCATACATGGTCAGAAATATGCAAGAAAAGTAGCCTCCATAACCTGCCAAAAACTGGGGTTTTGGGGGTCTTCAGGATCTTTGGGATCTTTTATGTGCTATTTTCTGATTGCATATATAGAAAACATAGCCGGCCTAGTTGTTAGAACTGGGCTAATCAGAAAACAGCCGAAGACCACCAAACCCCCAGTTCTATAAGCCTGCTACGGAGGCTACAACAAAAGTGTCTACATTTTAACATAGTCTGATAACTTCTGTTATAGCAGCTCTATGTCAAACTGTTGATATCATAGCTGCATGTACACATGTCTACTCTTCAATCTGATTACTTCTGTTATACTAGTAGCAGCTCTGAGGGAATAAATGCAGCAGATTCCACTACAATAACACCATCCCCCCAAGTCATTCCTGGTTTATAATCGCACAGCATGCTAAAGGTTAAATCAGAATAACCTTGGAAGCTGAAAGGTTAGGTTAGTAAACAGATAATGCTGACCTCTCGTAAACTGACAGTTTTACGTGTAGCCTTGAACATTACCAGCGTGCAATGAGCCAGGAAGTCAAAGCTTTTAGTGACCTTTGATAGAGAAGAGTGACCTGTTGTCAGTGCCCAGTACCCAAATGTCTCTGTAAAAGTCCAGCATCAGGGCTCAAAATACTGGGTGCATGTGCAGTTGTGCACCTTGGTGCACCCAAAATTGGAGCTGTGCACCTACTTTTCTGTGGGTGCACCAGAGCATGGAAGCCTGTCATAGGGACAGGTCACTGGTACATGTAACATCTATAATGATATCTGTAAATCTTACATTATGGTCACTGTTTCCCACCAGCATCCCAAGAGGAATAGCCCATACCGTTAGATACATGTAAGAGAATAGTCCCCTTTAAATAGATCACTCAAAATTGCATCCCTCAACCTCTATGTTGGGATGGAAGAAAATTCATGCGCGTGGATGACATCCTTATAATCAAATCAACATGGCGTAACAAAGTTATAATGGGAAGAAAAATAGAATAAAATGTTGATATACATCTTGGTGACCTTGGGTTGACCTCTTGTCATCACCTTAAGGAAACGACCTCACTTGGTGGCAATGAATAATGTCTAAAAATATCTCACCTGATCTGCTCTTTATTTATTAAAGGAAACTCTTAATTTGTAGTGAAGGAAAGGTTGTAAGAAATTTCTTTCAGTCGTTGTCTTAAGTTTGAGTTACTTATCTTCTGTCAAGAAAGACAGAATAGTTAGGCTATAGGATGATCCTATTAGTTACTAAACAGATGTCAATTTACCAGTGTTGCAATGTGTGAGGTATGAGGGAAGGTATCATGTTTCTTTGATATTTTGTTTTGATAGAAGACACGATATTATTACATGGCTTTAAGTCATGAAAAGTAACATGGTTCAAAACACTGCCAAGCAATAAAAGAATTATGACTCCACTCTTTTAGAAAAATACACATGGGAACTGTTTTACAGAGAATACAGTTGTATCTAAATTGAGTGATTGACAGGCAGGCTGTGTCACAGGGCTTTTAGTGACCTCTAGTGACCTTTAA